AAAAAAAGAAAAACATGCAACAGAGCTTCAGACAGTAACATAAGAAATCACATATATCATATTTATCATGCAATAGAAAAAAGAAATGCAATAGATTTTCAAGTAAAAAGTACCAAACATTCACTATACAATTCTTACGTTGTATTTTATTGCAAGAAGCGAAAGGATCGCCTGTAAATCCAGGAGAACAGCTACAAATAGGGTTGTGATTTACTACTTGACACCTTGTATTTAGACCACAAGTACCAATGCAGGGGTCAATACATTTTTGATTAACACATGCTTTGTTTTGACTACACTCGGAACTGACAACACATTCAGGACGACAAGATGGGGGTGTGCCAATAAAATCACTTAAACAAGAACAAACAGCGTGATCATTTAATTCTCTGCACTGACTATTTGGTCCACAAGGAGACGGAACACACGGATCTACTGGCGTAGCTTCAGCTATAAGTATAATTTTATTTGTGTTAATAGTATACTTGGTTATTTAACATTAAAAATTAAAAATGTAATTCTCACTAATGGGTATAACATGACAAGCACTCAATGGATCCCCCGTGTAACCATACAAACAACTGCACGAAGGAGCGTGGTTTAGGACTTTGCATTCTGCATTAAGGCCACATGTTCCGGGACATGGATCTTTACACTTGTTATTAGCACATGCTTTTGTGCGATCACAATCTGCATTCGTCACGCACTCTGGCCTACAACCCGTGTAAGGGTCTCCGAAATATTCAGGGAGACAAACACAAGAACCTGCACCGTTCTTTTCTCGACAAATAGCATTAGCTCCACATGGCGAAGGATTACATGGATCTCTTGGTCCTTCAGTCGGAGCAACTATACGAATAAAATATTATAAAAATTAACAAAAAGTGATGTGATCATATAGTAAATAAGAAGAATATATTTACTTTGTTGAACAATGTAACATCCAGCAAATGGGTCTCCAGTATAACCAGTTTCACATGAACATTGTGGCCTATGATTACGTGTTACGCAAGTTGCATGAACTCCACAAGAACCAGGACATGGATCTTTACAACGCTCGTTTAAGCAAGCAAGATTTCCAGGACATTCTGCATTTATGGAACATTCTGGTCGACAGTTTGGTGGTCTTCCTATATAGTTTGACTGACAAGAACATGCTGGAGTTGAACCAACTTCACGACAAATTGAATTTGGACCACATGGAGATGGAACGCAAGGGTTTCCGCTAGGTGGTGCTTGTGTTGGCCGTGCTGTGATATAAAAATGAATTTAATGAATTTTATTAATATTTGAACATATTTTATGAATTTTTAATGAAATATTTATGTTAATAATAAAAAGTATAATTTAATTAATGAATAAACTATTATATTTTTCATATATTTTTGTAATATGAAATTTTAAGAATAACTTATTAGATATATAATAATAAATATAAACAAAAATTATTTATTGATTATGAAAAGTTATCAGTAACAGGTTATTTTCATAAATAATATTTATAAGATAAATATTCAACTTACGTTCAGATTTGCATTGAACAAAGGGATCACCGATTAAACCACTTGGACAACTACAAATAGGGTTATGGTTTATAACTTGACATCTTGCTCCAATACCACATATTCCAATGCAGGGATCTGCACACTTTTGATTAATACATGCTCTATTTTGAGGACATTCAGAGCTAACTACACATTCTGGACGACAACCAGGTGGTGTGCCAATATAATTAGTTTGACATGAACATACTGCGTGACCATTTACAGTTCTACAGATACTATAAGGACCACAAGGTGATGGTTCACATGGATTTTGAGGTATTTCATCCACTATAAATAAAATTTTAAAATTATAATAATGTTAATTATTGATAAATAATATTAATTTACTTGGAGGTGGTGGCATATGACACGCAGTTATTGGATTACCAGTATAACCCGGTAAACACGTGCATGATGGTGCGTGATTTATTACGCTACATTCTGCGTTTAAACCACAAGTACCAGGACAAGGATCACGGCATTTATTATTTACACATGCCTTACTTCTATCACAATCAGAATTGGTTACACATTCTGGTCTACATCCAGTGTAAGGGTCTCCAAAATATTCTGACAAACATATACAAGAACCAGCTCCATTGCGCTCTTTACACATAGCGTTTGCTCCACATGGAGATGGATTACAAGGCATTTTCGGTCCTTCAGTGGGCACAACTAAAATATACAATTTATTACTACACATCATGAGTAAAATTGTAAAATATATTAAGTATTCTTACCTTGTTGTATTATAGAACATCCAGCAAATGGATCTCCTGTATAACCTTGTTCACAATTACATTGTGGACTGTGGTTAATAGTTACACACGTAGCGTATATACCGCATGAACCAGGGCATGGATCCTTACATCGTTCTTTTAAACATGCTAAATTTCCTGGACATTCGGCATTGATAGTACATTCCGGTCGGCAGTTAGGAGGTCTTCCGATGTAATTTTCCAGACATGAACAAGCTGGAGTGTTACCAATTTCTCGACATACAGAATTTGGTCCACATGGAGATGGCACACAAGGATTAACTGGTACGTCCAATTGTGGAGGTTCTGTAAATATTAAATATTTTAAGGTTTAAATCATTTTTTAATATTTAGTTTTGTAAATTATTGTTATTATTTAATTTATGTTATAAATTCAACGTACGTTCTTTTAAGCATCGTACAAAAGGATCTCCATTATAACCCGGGGGACAACTACAAATTGGATTATGATTGACTACTTGACATCTTCCATTTACTCCACATGTTCCAGGACATGGGTCTATACATTTTTGTTTTACGCATGCTTTGTCTTGAGGACATTCAGAACTAACCATACATTCTGGCCTACAAGCCGGTGGTGTTCCTATGTAATTTGTCTGACAAGAACATACAGCGTGATTATTGACAGCTCTACATTGACTATATGGTCCACATGGTGAAGGTATACAAGGGTTTTTCGGTGGTTCAGGATCAACTAAAAACATGTTTTGATTTATTAAATTAAGAACATTTGAATTATAGATTGAATAATTTAATAAAAATCAATTATTATTTTCAATTATTATTGCAATTTTATTTAAACTAACTATTGTTGACTAAGTGATAATTTATTTAATCATTAATCTATAATTTAGAATAAAATAAAGATAATAGTCTTACGTGCTGGTTGTATGTAGCAAGATAGTGTTGGGTCGCCAGTAAAACCAACTGGACAGTAACAAGATGGTGAATGATTAATAACTCTACATTCAGCGTTTAAACCACAAACTCCTGGGCATGGGTCACGGCATTTATTATTCATACAAGATTTACTACGATCACAATCAGAATTTGTCACGCATTCTGGTCTACATCCAGTATAAGGATCTCCAAAATATTCCGGTAAACAAGAACAAGAACCGGCACCATTTCGTTCTTTGCATATTGCATTTGCTCCGCAAGGTGATGGGTTACATGGCATTTTAGGTCCTTCAGTCGGAACTATATTTCAGATTGAATAACACGTTATTAATGTATAAACATTTATAATATGTTTTTGTAAATATTTTTAAAACCTCAAATTATATCTTACTTTGTTGTATTAGAGAACAACCACTAAATGGATCTCCTGTATAACCATTTTGGCAAACACACTGAGGAACATGTTTTACTGTATTACATGTAGCATATATACCACATGAGCCTGGGCAAGGATCTCGGCATTTTTCGTTAACACATGCAAGATTACCAGGACATTCGGCATTTATAGTACATTCTGGGCGGCAATTTGGTGGTCTGCCAGTATAGTTAGGTAAACAAGAACATGTTGGAGTTCCATTACGATCACGGCATAAAGAATTTGGTCCACAAGGAGATGGGACACATGGGTTAGTCGGTATTATTGGTTCATCATAGATTGGTTCTAAAAAAAAAAAAAAGGTTATAGTTATTTAATCCGGAATCAATTAAAAAAGTAATATCAAATACTAACTTTCTTGTAAGCATCGAACAAATGGATCACCAGTATATCCAGCTGAACAACTGCATATTGGATTATGATTAACTACTTGACATCGTGCATTAAGACCACAAGTTCCAGGACATGGATCAACACATTTTTGATTGACACATGCCTTATCTTGAGAACACTCAGAACTAACCATACATTCTGGACGACAAGCTGGAGGTGTACCAATATAGTTTGTTTGGCATGAACAAACTGCATGGTTATTTATTGCCCTGCATTGGCTGTATGGGCCACAAGGTGAAGGTATACAAGGATTTTTAGGTGGTAGATCTGGGCCTAGAATTGGGCATAGTACAAAGAAAAACATGCAACATACAATAGAGACAGATAAGAATGAAGACATAGTATAAAATACCCATGCGTAAAAGGTTCACAAGCTAACAAATACAAAGTTAAGGAAGAAATCTTACTGGCAATAGGAAGAAGTTGACAAGCAGACAACGCATTGCCAGTATATCCTGGAAGACAAGCACATGAAGGAGAATGGTTGATCACTCTGCATTCAGCATATAAACCACACATTCCCGGACATGGGTCCCGACATTTATTGTTTATACATGATTTGTCTCTAGGACATTCGCTATTTAGTACACATTCTGGTCTACATCCTGTATAAGGATCGCCAGTATACTCGGGAATGCATGAACAAGATCCAGCATTATTTCTTTCTTTGCAAATAGCATTTGCCCCACATGGTGATGGGTTACATGGATCACTTGGTACATCTGCAGGAGGTGGTGCTAAAATGGGAAAATCTATGTTGCAGTGTGTACAATGAAAACGTTCATTGATTTAACAATGACTTTTCAAATTACTTAATATATTTATTTTTTTAAGTATAGTCATGAAATCAATAATATAAGTTTAATAATTCTTACGTATAATCGGCGTTGGTGTGCAAGCTATAAACGGATCACCATTATACCCATCATCGCATTTACATACAGGATTATGGGAAATAACTTTACAGAAAGCATTTATACCACAGGAACCAGGACATGGATCTATACATCTTTCATTCACACAAGCCAAATGTCCATTACATTCGGCATTTATTGTACATTCTGGTCTGCAGAATGGAGGTCGACCAATGTAATTTGGTGAACAAGAACAAATAGGAGTATAATCTTTAGGATGACATATAGAATTTGGACCACATGGTGACGGAACACAAGGGTTCTGTGGATGTCTATCTTGTTCCGGTAGCAAAGGCTCTAAAAATTCCCCATGCATTAAATTAATAAAATGCTACACAAAAAGCAATAACTAAAAGCGACTACGACATTCTTACTTTCTATAATAGCACAGCGAACAAACGGATCACCATAATAACCCGGGTAGCAACTACATATTGGACTATGATTTACAACTCGGCATTGCGCATTATAACCACATGTACCAGGACATGGGTCCGAACAAATTTGATTTACACATGATTTGTCTTGTGGACAATCCGAACTAGTTATACATTCGGGATGACAGTTTGGAGGATTTCCAAAGTAACCAGCTAAACAAGAACATACTGCGTGCCCATTTACAACTCGGCACTGGCTGTATTGTCCGCAAGGCGATTTCATGCAAGGGTGTTTTGTAATAACCAAATCAACTTGGCATGCTAAGTAATAAAATATATATAAAAGGAGAATTCAAAGAAAAGCAATAGCAAATATACAACTCTTACTTGGATCAAACTCAATTTTATGACATGATAATAAAGCATTTCCAGTGTACCCTTGCCAACAATAGCAAGTAGGAGCATGGTGGCTAACCTTACATTCAGCATTTAAGCCACAAGCTCCAATGCAAGGATCTACACATTTGTAATTGATGCATGCTTTATTCCATGCACAATCAAGATTGTTTACACATTCTGGTCGACATCCTAAGTAAGGATCACCGAAATATTCCGGTATACATGAACAAGAACCAGCACCATTTGATTCCTTACACACAGCATTTGCTCCACATGGTGAAGGATTGCAAGGATTTATAGGCGTATAATCGATAGCTGAAATGCGATTACACATATTCTACATTCTAATAAAATATACACAAATAAATTCATAAAAGCTCTATCCATTCCCTTAGCAAAGCCAAGATATAAAATATGCATGCACTTACTTTTATAAACACCAGATTATAAAATTATGTTACAAATGACAGTTAATAATGTTAACATTGATAAGTCCGAATAAATTATGTTTTACTAAATTATACTATTTAATTATCTTACATGATTAAAAAGCAGAATTAAGTCTTACGTGATAATGAGCATATTTTAAAAGGATCTCCAGTATATCCTTCAGGGCACATGCATATCGGTACATGATTTACCACACTGCATAGTGCTTGAGCCGCACAACTACCAGGGCATGGGTTAGTACAATGGTTATCAACACACACCTTAGATCCGATACAATCGGCATTCAAAGTACATTCTGGTCGACAGTTTGGTGGTAAGCCGATGTAGCCGCTTTGACAAGAACATACAGGTTGTTTGTCATAAGAGCGGCAAACCGAATTAGGTCCACATGAGTTATTATCACACGGATTAGTATTATCATCTGGGCACTCTAGATAATTAACCAATAACACATGCATTTATCGGTTAATATAAATGTATAGATTTTTGAATAAGTTTCGAGGATTTATTGCTTACTTTGTGTTAAAAGACACCGTTTCATAGGGTCACCGGTAAAACCCGGTTTACAAACACAAATTGCTTTATGATTAATTACCCTGCATAGGGAATTGGGTGCACATAAATTCAAACAAGGGTCTGTGCACCGTTGATTAATGCATGCTTTATTTGGTGCACATTCTGAACTCATAACACAATCTGGTTTGCAGTTAGGTGGTGTTCCAGAATAACCAAATTGGCATAGACACACAACATGGTTTTTGAGAACTGTGCAGTTGCTGAACGGGCCACAAGCATTTGGCAAACAATGTGTTTTTGATTTGGGGGGTAGTTTAGGAGCTATAATTAGATTATTAGTATATTATTAATTAAATTAAAATAATTGCATAAATGTTTTCTTGGTACATAAAAGCATAATTAAAAAAATTATATTGAACAATATAAAATAATAGATAAAATAATTTAAGATTGTGAAATGACAGGTAAAGCGTCAAGAAAACATTTATGTATATCAAAGCGGTAATATTAGTAACAGATATGTGGAAGAAAGCATGCTTACAATTTGATATTTTGATACATATTGTTAGTGGATTGCCGGTCATGCCATTAGGACAAAAGCAAATTGGGCTATGGTTGACTACTTGGCAATGAGCGCGCACGCCACAGGCGTTTTTGCATGGATCAATGCATTCAGAGTTAACACAAGCAAATGATATCGGACAATCTGCGCTTAGTGTACAACGAGGGCGACATCCCATTAATGGATCTCCTATGTAGTTACGTTTACAAACACAAGTTCCGTTGTTAATATTGCCCTTACATATCGCGTTAGGACCGCAAATTGAACCATCACAAGATAGGCGAGGCTTCCCTTTTGGTTTTGCTATTAATAATAATAATAATAATAATAATAATAATAATAGAAATAACAATTATAACCATATTTGCAGTCCAACTGTTGTAGTTCGTTTGTTAAGTAATTTTGCCTTAGTTACATAAAGTTTTAAATTACTGTAAGCTATTAGTGGTAAACCAAATTAGTACGATTAAAACGTATAGTTTATACCTACATACATTTTTGTTTTCAAATAAATAATCGTTACGTTTTTTAGGCTTTCGTAAAATTATAACACCATCAGTTGTTCTTATTAAATATAACATACCTGCAACTGCATTACATCCATTAAATGGATCTCCTTGGTAGCCAGGCTCACATGAACATACTGGTTGATGATTTATAACGGTGCATCTAGCGTTGAAACCACAAGAGCCTGTACAAGGATCTCGACATTTACTTTGTAGACATGCTAATCTAGTAGGACAGTCAGCATGAATTAAACATTCTGGTCTACAGTTTGGTGGTGCTCCAAGCATTCCCGGTAAACATGAACAAACGGGTCTACTGTCGTGTTCTCTACATTCTGAATTTGCTCCACAAGGTGACGGGAAACAAGGATTTTGATAGACGGTCGGAGGAGTTTTTGGTTCTGTTGGATTATTTGTTAATAATTTTTAATAATTTTACAAATTATATTCATTTTTCAAAAACTTACCTTCTTGAATACATCTCACAAATGGATCGCCAACAAATTTTGGTGGACAAGAGCAAATGGGATTGTGATTTATAACATTACAACGAGCATGCAAACCACATGTTCCTGGACAAGGGTCTGAGCATTTTTGTGATATACAAGCTTTGTCTACTGGGCATTCAGCACTAACGACGCATTCAGGGCGACATGCAGGAGGAGTCCCTATGAACCCTTGTATACATGAACAAACAGCATTATACCCTTGTGTTCGACATTGACTGTTTGGACCACAAGGTGAAGGTTCACAAGCATTTTGAGGAGTTGGTGCTGTAAATTATATGTAATAATAATTTATGGTTAATAAAAATATTTATTTTTGTTGAAAAAATAATCTAAATATGACAAATTTACGTTTGATTGGTTCTATTCTACAAGACTGGAATGGATCTCCGATATAACCAGGAAGACAGGTACAAACTGGTACATGACTAACGACATTACATTGAGCATTCAGTCCACATACTCCTGGGCATGGATCACGACAATGGCTAGCCAAACACGCCAAGTTTGACAAACAATCACTGTTCATCAAACATTCTGGTCTACAGCCGCCAGAGTATGGATTACCAATGTAAGGTGGTATGCACACACATTTTGCAACTTCATTATTTTCACTGAAACATTGAGTGTTTTCGCCACAAGGTGAAGGATTACATGGATCCCTGGGAATTTCTGGCAACGCAGCTAAACAATAATGATTTTGATGAGTTTTATACAAAATTCTTATGAGTATTTAACTAATAATTAAAAATAAAAGTTTGTTCAAAATAGTTTTCAAAGCATGTAAGCAAATAGAATTCAATTTTTATGTAAATTAATAATAATTAAATATATTTGTATAATACATACTTGGAGGAATTCTACTACAGCTAATAAATGCATCTCCTTCATAACCTGGTTCGCAAGTACAGAAAGGAGTGTGATTAACTACATCACATTTAGCATTTATACCACATGATTTTGTGCATGGATTTTGACATTTTTCCTGTATACAAGCTTTGTTATATGGACACTCTTGATTCATTATACATTCTGGACGGCAATACGGAGGGCTTCCAATATAATTTGGGGCACATGAACAAACTGGATGGCCCTTTTTAATTTCACAAATTGAATTTGAACCACACGGAGTAGGTTCACATGGGTTTCCAGGTACTTTTGGAGTTTCTTCGGCTATACACAAAAACAATTTATTATATTATAATAAAACAAAAACTACAACAATATTATAATTGTTTTTCAAATTTTAACTAACCAAGTGGTAAATAGCAGCTGACAAACGGATCACCTACATGTCCAGGTGGACAACTACAGATTGGATTATGGCAGATAGAATAACAATTAGCTCCTACACCACATGTGCCAGGGCACGGATCAACACATTTTTGATTTAAGCAAGCTTGTGTTTGAGGACATTCGGCGCTCACTACACATTCGGGTTTGCATACCGGTGGAGAGCCACGATATCCCGGTAAGCATGAGCACGTTGCAAATCCTTGTTCAGAAATATGACATCGGCTATTAGAACCACATGGAGAGGGATCACAAGCATTATCTGCTGGACCCATGATTGGTGGATAATCTAAAAAAAAAAAAATTCAACTTTATAGTTTTCGTTATCAAACTTTTTCAAACTTTAAAATAGCTATTTACTTGGTCTAGCGGCTTGATAACAGCTAACGAAAGGATCTCCTGAATAATCTTGTTGGCAGAAACAAACAGGAAAATGATTAACTACTTGACATTGAGCGTTAACGCCACATACTCCCAAACAAGGATTAACACATTTGTTGTTAATGCAAGCTAATGTCTGGCCACAGTCAGTATTGATAACACATTCGGGTCTGCAAGATAAGTATGGATTTCCGTAATATTGTTGGCGGCAGACACATATAGTCATTCCATTGGATTTTTTGCACATGGCATTAGCTCCACATTGTACTCGATCACATGATATAGGCTTAGCAATATCATCTATAAAATAAATTAACATTTTTAGCAAATAATAAATTATAAATACATATATATATATATATATATAGATATAAATGTCTCATACTTTGTTTTGGAGTAGAACAATGTTCATACGGATTTCCTATCAATCCTGATTTGCATGTGCATACTGGATTATGGTATACAACCATACATTCAGCTTGAATGCCACATGATCCAGGGCAAGGATCAATACATTTTTGTCCCACACAAGCTAAATTGAATGGACAATCCGAGTTATACAAACATTGAGGATGGCATTGAGGATTCCACTGTTGTTCAGTTGAAGAGCAGGGATCGCACATAGCTATTTGACCACCATAAACGTTACAAGATGAATATGGATCGCAAGGTGAAGGAGCGCAAGGTAGAGTCATATTTTTGTAAGGCTCGTCATCAGCTAAACATAAAATAGATTGGATATTTAGAATTTAACAAATTTGATATGTATAAAAAATAATAAATAATAAAAAAAAAATTAAAAAAAAATCAGTTTATTTAATTTACGTTTTGGTAGACATTGCAAGAATGGATCTCCAACAAATCCTTCTCTACATGAACAAAGCGGTGTATGATCTTTGCATTGACATACAGCTCCAAGACCACAAATGTTTCCAAAAGCACACGGATCTCGACATCTATAGTCAATACAAGCTTGGTGATTCTTACAGTCGGTGTTTAAAACACATTCGGGTTGACATCCAGTCTTTGGATCTCCTACAAAATTGGGTAAACAAGAACAAACTGGTTTACGGTTTTGAATTTTGCATTCTGTGTTGATACCGCATGGATTAGGTAAACATGGATTGCCCGTTGGAACTGGTTCTAAATCTTTGATTACAAATAAACCAATATTAATTTTAATGATATTAATCATTTTTTAAATAATTTACTTATTTGATAACAACGGAAGAATGGATTTCCAGTTAATCCATGATTGCAAGTACAAACAGGACGATGTTTTTCTACTCGACAAGTAGCACCTATTCCGCAAGATCCTGGGCATGGGTCATTACATTTGTAACCCAAACACGATTTATCCCATGGGCACTCATCGTTAGTAGTACATTCAGGACCTTTGCATCCTGTAAGTGGGTCTCCGCCCATTCCATCAGGACAGAAACACAATGGTTGTCCTATTATATAATACATGTTATTGTTAAAAATATAACATAAGTATTCTAGTTTAATAACAACGACATTAATACCTTCTGCTGAAATTTTACAGTAAGCATATTTTCCACATGGGTTTGGTTCACATGGGCTCGTTGGTATAAGACTACAACCGTTATATGGATTTCCCGAGAATCCATTTTTACAATAGCACTGTTCATTGCTTCCAGTTACATAACAGTCTGCATTTACACCACATGGTCCCGGTTGACATAACGTTTTCAGAGGTTCTAATTATAATTTTAAAGAAACACCGAGTTAAATTTATTTAAACTTTTATACTTAACAAAAATATAAATCTAAGATCCTAAAACGTACCACCGCAGAACTTGAACGGGTTTCCAATCAACGGTTCGGGACAGAAACAAGAAGGTTGCCTATTAGGATCACAAACTGCACTCTGTCCACACGGGTTGGGTTCACACGGATTTTTTTTCTCTACACATCCCCGTATTGTATTCGGGCTCTCGATATAACCAGGCAAACATGTACACTTGGCAAATCCATTATCTAATAATGTGCACTGAGTGTTAGGTCCACAGGGAGATGGTGTACAAGGATTAGTTGGTAAACGGCAAGGTGTAATTGGAGGATCTCCTTCATATTCAGATAAGCAGAAACATACTGCTGAGCCTTGGACTACTCGGCAGCCCGAGTACGGACCACATGGATTAGGTGAACATTCATCGCCTTCAGGAACTAAAAATGAAAACATTTATAAGCCAAATATCAAATATATATATATACTGTTTAGAAAATATTTTTTTATTTATCAGCTTAAGCTAAAAATAATTGACGTAAATATAAAATAGACCAAGGAATCATCATTTTTTACTTACTGCAACTTTTAAATGGATTTCCAGTCATTCCTTTTGGACAATAACAAATTGGATTTCCATTGTCGATTTCACAATGGGCGTGCATTCCACAAGGATTTGGATCACATGGATCTTGTGGAGCTGAAATGCATTCAAATGGTATATTATTGATTTTACATTACTTAAGAATTAAATCAAAAAGTTTAGCATTATAAAGTGATTTATATTAAAGCAATTATACTAATTAATTACCTTGACATCCCAATAATGGACTTCCACTGTAACCGGAAAGACACTTGCATGTCGCTTTATGGTTTGAAACATCACATACAGCATTAGGACCGCACCTGCATGGGTTGGAACATTTTCCATTGATACATGCTTCATTAGTTGAGCATTCTTCATTTAATCGACATCCAGTTACTAAACGTTATAGTAAAAATTGTAATAAGGTTTGTTTTTCCTGTATTGATTAATGCAATATAATTGTATTTTATTTGTACCTGATGAACAAGTAATGTATGGATTTCCTTGATGGCCTGGTAAACATTTGCACTCTGTACCATGGTTTACAGGATAACATTCCGCATTTTCACCACAAGAGTCTTCAGCGCATGGGTTTATACACACACGATTTAATCGATCACATAATTTATCCGGCGGACAATCTTCGTTGTATTGACAAATAGGCTTATACGAACGAACTAAAATATTTAACCATATATCATGAGTAAAAAAATGATTTGTTATCTAATTATTGAATGTTCATATTTCTCTTAAAACATATATACCACCAAAAAAATTAAATACCAACATAATTAGATATTATACTCCTAACAGGAATATTGTACACGATGTTTAAAAGCACATGAAAAACGTATAACAAATGATTTCAACAAGTTTATAAATGTTTATTATAATATTATAGCAGTAATATAACCTAAAACTAATTAAGGTTAACTTATACGAATTAACAAATTAATTAATTAAAATTTTTTTTTAGATTATAAAATTTTTTGAATAAGAACAATAAATTCTTTTAATTCTTACTTGTGTATTTGATAGGTTAATATTTAAACTGAACTATATGTAACATATAAAATAATAAGAAAGTAAAATAATTTATAGAATTTGGAATGTATTTTATTTATATTACAATATTACCTTGACTTTTTATAACTTATGTTGGTCACAACTATCGAAAAATAATAGTTATATAATAATAATAATAATAATTAATGCCAGTCTTTAATACTTGATTCATAGAATTTTATGATATGTGATGTAAATATCGTATACGTCTCATAATATATATATAGTGACCCGAATAAGAGCCTTGGCAGTATTACACTAAAAAGTAATTAACTGTTAAAAATGCATAATAATAATGATATTATTTCTATTATTGAAATAATGCTTTTAAAAGGACAATACCATAATCCAAAAAAATTATCTCATATGTTGTAACGGTTAAGTATATCGTGTTCATAAACAATTAATATTTGATTTTCATGAAAATCCGTCGACTTTGTAAAAGTAAATTTTTTAACTAACCTGGTAAACATCCGACAAAACCATTGCCTTGAAATCCTTCTATGCAGCTACAGTCAACTCCGTGAGCTGTATTTATGCAAGCTGCGTTTTGAGCACATGGATTATGAATGTTACATGGGTTTTGACAAATTTGCTGAATGCAAACTTCACCATTCGTACAATCGCTATTTGCTGTACAGGTTACTATATTCGGAATAAGTTAAAAAAAAAAAAAGAATATTTATAGATAAAACGAAGAAATTTTAAACCTCTTAAAATAAACTAGATGGTACCCAAGAAGATTGATACCAATATGGTAGATTTATATATTTACAAAATAACCTCGCGTATATAATACAACGCTATACTTTCTATAATACAATATCCAATAAATTCTTTATGGAAAAGAAGGCAAATCTCTAATTATTATACAGTGACTTATTTTACAGTAATAATGTTTTGTGTTGTTTTTGTACATTAATCATTAATTTTTTCACATGTTAATAATTTGGTTATTAATGAAATTAGTGATGATATTAGTCTTACATAGTTTTGGTTGATAACACTTTGTTGCCGGGTTTCCTTCATATCCCGGTGGACACGAACAAACAGGCCTGTGTTTAATTACATGGCATATGGCATTTGGTGCGCATACTGTTGCAAAACTACACAAATTCTCACACTGGCCCATGTAACAGGCCTCCGAGTCTAGACATTCCGTGTCGGATTCGCATACTTGTGGTTTTTTTGCAGTACCTGGTGCTATAGTATTAATAGTATTATGTACATTAGAGTTATTTACACAAGCATGTTAAGTAATCTTTAATCATTAACGATTCACCAGTAAACTAGAAGTTTCCAGTTAGAATTAGTTTTTCTGAATTAAATAACATTTTTGGTAAGTAGTTAATTCATTTATTGTTGATTATCCTTAAATAATCACCAAAATGTTAAATAATTTATCAACAAAGACATCGAGAAATTAACAAAAACTGGAAAATCTAATTTAAATCGTACAACATTCAACATTTAATTCAATGTTATCATAAATTGACTATTTCATTATGTCATGCTTCAATTAGTATAATTTCTGTGAAAGTAACCTAATCCTGAATCATCTGATATTAGAAACGTAAATACGTTTCACTTATTTGATTAATGAGTTTTCTGAATACATAGAACCTATTTAAACGCTAAAGCACTGACTGATGATTACTATATTCGGCCGATTGATATTTACACGTATTATTTATTTATAAAAAAAATCAATTGAGAACGGTGTCATTTAATTCTTCTCGAATCAACGTGACAAACAAATATTAATACACATTTTAACTACGGATTCTCCGTACATACAAACTAATTAAATTACGATACATGCTAAAACACAAATTATTATAAAAGCGGTATTTTTTATTAGTATTATGTGTAAATTATACCTTTAAGACACTGTAATGTGATGATTCCGGGCGGGCAGTTATTTACGCGGCTTTCACCTGTTGGAAGACACTTGGCTGCCAAACACTTGTGGTCGGCATCACAGTCGATATCATTCCAACACCATTTTCTGGTTGCTGTGGTTATTTTTTGTACAGAGTAGCTGTTGTTTATATTTGTTTGGTTATGGTTTGTGTATTTTAAAGTGGTATCTTCAATTTCAATACTCTTAGAAGTTATGGTATATTCGGTAGTAGTTAAAATATCATTCAAGTCAGTAGTATCCTGCACATTATCTCGGGGTGTTAATTCATTTTTATAATCGACAGTACTGTGATAATCTGTTTGAATATCGTATTTAGTCTCTTCGGTTGGCGTAACAGTAAACGGTTCAGTAGAAGTGATAAATTCAATTTTCTTATTAGTTGTAGTAACATTAGATATTCCATTCTGATTCAAAGTCATATTCGAGTTACTTTTGTTTAAACTCGTAATAGTTGTAGGATTATCAGTCACTGCAGTTACTGGATTTGCAATGATTGTGTTCTCGGCAGTTGTCGGATCATTTTCCTTATTCAAATTTGAGACAAGTACTTCTATAGAAGTTGTAATTACATTTATCATGGTAGAAGCATCACTTAGTGATGTCATCGAAGTAGTTTCAATTTGATCCAAATCGTTGGTTTTCGCTATCGGCTCTAGTGGAATTTCCGTTGTAACGGAATTAACATTTTTACGTGTGTTTGTGTCTGTCAGAGAGTGTAAACGGTTTTCTACGTTTTTATGTGTAACGATTTCATTAAACGATTTAAGAGTGGTACTTTTCGTTTTAATCCAATCGGCCATGGTGATAATTGTAACCGTTGTTGTTTCTAGATTATCGCGATTTACATATTCAACGTCTGTATCCATTGTTGTGAATGTTCCGTATGTTGCACTACTGTCCGTAATCGTCGGTATATTATTCGTAGTTGTTTCAAAAGAATTGACCGAATTGAACACTGTAAATGGTTCTGTAGTTGAATCATAGTCACTCGCTTCAGTTTTATCAGTTCGGTCTCCTTGGGTTCGTGTTGAAACAATAGATTCATTTTTTTTTTCAAAATCGAATGCAGTGGTTACCTCATTAGCCATTGTACTTATTTCGCTCGCAGAGATTGTATCATCTCTATCAGCAACGCGAGTCGATGTTATAACGCTTTCGTTTTTCCCACGTGTACGAATGGTTGTTGTTAAATCATATTCTACGCCATTAGCCGCGTTATTCATAGAACCGTCCGTTGCCTCGTAGTTTTCAGTAAAAATTTCTTTTAAAATAATTGCCTCGGTTGGTTCTGTGTTTGGAACAGTTTCTTCCGTACCATTAATTGCTGTAAAATGTATTCCCTCTACTGTTGTCGGTTTGTTTACTGACGATGTATTATTTGCACTACCCGTCGTATTGAACAATGCTTCCCATTTTTTTTTAACGTCTTGAGAAATGTTACTGTCATTTATACTGACCGATCCGGGTACTATTGACGATTCAATACTTTGTGTATTCATTTCGGGCACTATTGTTGTCATTTCATCGGTTTTAGTTGAATTATTAAACGGACGGTTAATTAAATCATTTGATACTTGATTGTGTGCCGTCACGGTCATAACTTTTATATTATCTGTTGAAATAACAGAATATTGTTCAATGTTTTCTTCAGTTGGCTGAGTAGAGATTGCACTAATCGTTGCTTCATTTTCGTCAAATTTATCGTTTAAAGTTGTGAATTCTACACCTTTATTTGTTATTGGTTGAAGTGTTGTATCGATTGAATGAAATATTAAATCACTTTCGGTTTTTTCATTGAAGACAAATGTGTCTAATGTTGTTTGTTTTGTATCTTCATAATTATAAGTTGTCGTGCCGATGTCACTTAATGTTTTGGAAATAAATGTTGAAGTTCGATCATCGAATATTCCATGAGTTTGTATATCATCAACTGGGGTATTTGAAAATACAGGATTTGAAGTTGAATAGTGAACTTCATTTTCGTTGTCAAACAATGCAGTTGTCCTTTCAATAAAAACGCCCTCGTTATTGAATGAGGTTTTCGTTGTGAATGTTTTATCATTTTCACTTTTTCGGTCAGAAACCTCAGCTAAATTAATATAAGTAGTTGTTATAAAGTTAAACTTTGTCGTAATTTCCTTTTTTTCGTTGAAATCAACGTCTCTCGTTGGGTCTACATAATTGTTGGGAATCACTAATGTCGTTTTTTCTGGATTTTTTATCATACTTGTAGTAAGCTCATCGGACGCAGTAGTTGTTACAAATGAAGTATTATTTTCTTCCGTATTAATATTTAATAAAGAAGAAACAGTTGTCTTTTCAAATGCATTAGAACTCGAATTTTTCGTCAGATTTTTTTCAATATTTTCATGGTTGTATTTGGTATTGATTCCCACATACGAATTTGTTGTAACAGGCATATTATTGTTTATGTACATTTCTTCATCAAAATAAATTGTTCTAGAGTCAATAGATTCATTTAAACTTTCCGTAGTTATTTCTGGATTTCTGTTCATACTTTGATCAGTACTAGATTTTAAATTACTGGATTTTGTCTCTAGAATAATAGTTGTAGTCTCGAAACTTAAAGATTCTTCGAATGTTTTGGCGTTTATAGCTTCTGTTGTTCCATCTTGATTAAATAACATATTTTTGTCAGTACTTGTATGTATGTTATCACTATCATATACTGTTGATGTCGTTTCGATATTGTTATTGGATGAAATAGAATTTTTCAAAATGTTCAATTCCGTTGTTTCTATAAAATTTAAATTGGTTATCTCAATTGGGTTTTGGGTATTTACATCGAGGCCATTTGTTAAACTATTGGTAGTACTAATTTGAAAATCATCAGGCGGAGAAAACATATCGATTGTACTCATTGAAGTTGTTTTTGGTAAATCTTCCGAGAACACAGTAGTTTCTATATTTTTTTTATACTCAGGAACACTTTCTGTAATTGTATTTAGTTCAGAATCATCAAAGGTTTTAATGGTAGTAGATGATACATAATTATTTGAATATGTTGTTTTACTGTCTATAGGATTAAATGCAGATGTAAACAAATCTTCCGACTGTGTTGAATTTTCGATGGGTAAATATTTGTTATCTATAGTGATTTCATTCATTAAAATTTCAAAATTTGTTGTAATAGTCATTGAAGTATTTTCTGTATTACTATCAAAAATAGCTGTTTCTGAATTTTTATCGTTTAAAGTTGTTATTTCGACTGTTTTAGGTTCATAATATTGAGTCGAATTTTCAGCAAAATTATTAATTTCGTTTCTTAAACTAGGAAAAGTGCTTTGTGATTTGTCTTTTGACGTTACAAGTTCATTTACGTTTGTACTAAATTCATTATATTCGTTTAAACTAGTTGTATTATCTATTGTTCCGAAACTCGTTGAACTTGTAAATTTTGTCATTTTATCTGAATCGATTCCAGAATGGGTTGAACCGATTTCGTTTTCATTTACGTGTCTATCCGAATATATAAAAATATTATTAGTAGTATATTCATCCAATACTTTTATCAAAGGTTCGGTAGTTGTGTCACTATCGATTGGAACTGGTTCTGTTGTAGTTATCACATTTTTATCAGATGTTAAGTTTTTATTGAAATGGTAGTCATTGCCTTTAAACATTTTTGTTGGCATCGAAGAGCTAATAATTATTTTATTAATCTCAGTTGGCATAAACGGTTTAGCTTTATCGGTCATATCGAATTCAGAAACTGTAGTCACTTCGGTTAATTTATTAGTATGTTCTGTTTCTAAGCTAGAAATTAATACATCGTTAGTTGTGATGGTCGTAACAGTGTATTGCGGTAACGAGTCTACTGTGTTTGTACAAAAGCAGGAACACACATTAAAACAAAAAATAGTTAGTTTCTGTTAAAAGATTAAGAGTAGAATATTTAAAGTGAAAGCTTTTTACATAAAACACAATAATATTGTCATATTTTGTTTGTTTGTCAAAATTATGAAATTGTACTTGACACAAACGAAAGTTAACAATATTTTGTTCTGAAACTACATAAGCGTCTGTTTTCTCTATTACAACTTAGAGGCGCTTGTGCAGTTTTTTTTAATTTTTAATTTATATTAATTTCATTCAGACTTGTGGAGGTTTCTCCGATGTTAATAAAGCTCCAGCCACCATTTCATACGTACAACAAGTTAAATAGACAGGCAAGTAATGTGTTTGATGTGTACATGTGTATATGGCGTCAACTTGAAATAATCACTAATAAAATTTACTTAATATACTACACCAATGATGAAAACAAATTTATATTCTACAACAGTTAGATTTAACTTAAATAATAAAATAAATATTATAGTATTACTATAGTACATACATTTTCATGTACATTATCTTTTATCAACTAATAAAAGTATGAAAAGAAATTAAATTCTCTCGTCATATTGGAGATTTATGGGTTTTTATATATAATATATATATATATATTATCACTACATTATTTATGTGTTCGAATGGCGTTGTGCGTGTGTGTGTGTGTGTGTGTGTGTATGTTTGTTTATTGAGTATGATAGATTTGTGTAATATACATTCGACAGAAAATAAGAGTATCGATAACTCATGCATCCTCTCTAATTTCTACTTGACTACTATTACTCTAAAGTTATTTTAAATTAAATATATATTTCTACAACAATACTTACTGTATGATACTTTATTTAGATTTAAATACACATGCGATATAGTCCTCTGTATATTTTTGTATTTTTTTTTATAAGTAACTAATACAATATATTCCCCATGCTGCAGTCTGTGCTTTTGCGTCACGTTCCCCCCAAAATTCCCACAAGTCTATCTATCATCGAACTTTCTTCAACTAATTCAACAACATCAACTTTATTATTTTTTAGTGTTAAAAACACAAACAAACGCTTATTTTTCATTTTCACTTTTGTTAAATAATTTAATTTGGAGATGTGCTGCTATCTTACACATATTCACATAATATTTACATAGTAATTTATATAAATGATAAATTATGAGTTTATTTACATAAATAAATTAGGAAATATGAAAACTTTTTACATAGTATCTAAGCAATTAAAGAGAAAGTAAAGGAGCAAGTATCGTCAGTAATGTTTTGATGCTTGAATCTTCTTCAGACGTCTTGAGGTAAAATCAAGGAAGGAGAGAGGACATATTAAAAACAGCAACACATCTATATGGTCTAAATAATACTATGCTACTTTATGTAAATAATAGCACATACCTTTAGCGCAAGCTCCAGTTACTGGATCACAAGGTACACCTGTTGGACAATGTTCACATCCTGAAATCTGAACAGGATCTTGGTCTACACGTGAAAAAATTAATTCATAATTCAATATAAATCAAATAAACTAATGATGTATAATATTTTTCGAAAACTAAACGACAAAAACATTGCCTTACTCGCTAATATACAGTTGCATCCATCACATACGTAACCGTTCTGACAATGTGAATTTTTTTGGCATTGGCACACTTAAAAATAAAATTTAAAGAGGTTAATTTTTTTTATAATAATAATAAAAGAATATCACATGCCTATTATAATATAAATTTACCAGGAAGATTTTATGTCTTTATTTAAGAATTGTATAATTTTTAAATTATACATAATTAAAACATATATGTTTATAAACTAGACACCGTAAATAGTATTTAGTAACATTGGAAATTTTGTGGTTAAACCTTTATATTTCAGTGTAAGATTACGATACATGAAGAAAAATGAAAACACATATAAGGCAATCCTGACCAACATTAAAAAATAAACCAAATTATTTCATTGTGTTTGTGAAGCGTTACACCCGCGACAATAATATAACGATTGTGAAATCGTAGAACCATAGAATCTTGTTCACTAACCTAATAAACTGAGTAGACATTTCATTAGTATCAACTGTTTACGAATAAATAATAAAATAAATTAAATTGTTTTAATGAGAAATAAGAACATACAAGATGAAACGTGATGGCAATTATTTCAGAAATCACATCATATTAGCATTGTGACCTTGAAAAAATGACCTATAAAACGTTTATGAATTTACGTGTACCTGTCTACGATATTATGAGCATAAGAGAGGATGAGAAAGAAAATGTGTACACGAAAAGCTGTGTTTTTTTAATCTGAATTGATCGGAAAAATCGTCGTAATATTTCATAAATTTAACTAAATGCAGGTCAAGGTAAGATTAATGAGACGATAATGTCACTAAAATCTTATGATGATAAAAATTACGGTACTTACGTTTCAGGCAAACCGGTTTATGGTCTTGTACTTGACAGTCTTGTTGCGAATTACACGGGTTATTACGTTGACAGGGGTTTTGGCACTGATTCGCTATGCACGCTTGTTCTGGTGGGCATTCATAGTGCGCAGAGCATCCGGCCACTGAAATCGCCAAGCATTGTGTTTATAAAACAGATAAACGGGTAACACGAGGTGTTTAAATTCGATCGAATCCTACCACGGATTCTATCATATTAGAACGAACAAGCGTTTGGTGCGCGAGACAGTCCGTTGCGGACATGATCTTAAGAACGAGTCTTAAAGTCATGTTTGCAACGGTACGGTCAGCACGTCACCGTTTTATCACCGACACCAAAAGCGTATAATAATCGTATAAAAACACCAATCACCATTTCGTCGAGCCGATACTCTTGAGCTCAACAGTAAAACAAAAACCACATGGTAAAACGGTTGCTTAAGTAATACCATGACATAACAGAGTCAAACACATTTTTACCACATTCGACACGTTACGCGACCGTGTATCGGATACGAATAAAACGGCAGCTTTGCAGTAACAACAATAATAGTTATTTTTGAAAGTGAAGCGGACGGAATATGATGGAGGGAGAGTAGAATGTGTGTGTGTAATAGAGAGAGAATGAGTGAGAGAGAGAAAGAGGCACAGCACTAGAAGAACGGTCGTCTCCGGCGAACCTTTCCCGGCACACAGCGGCGCGAAGGTGACATGCATACGTTGTTGCTGCTCCGGAGCGCTGAAAGAAAACAAAAATTATGGCCACCAATCGAATGTCGATCGCGCACACGCGCAAAGATCCGGGACGAAGAAGGGTGAGGGGGAGAGAGAGAGAGAGAGAGTGAGAGAGAGAGAGATAAGAGCGCCGAGGATATCCCGTGCGCGAGAAGTGCATCGCACGGGGGGAGAGGTCGAAAGGAACCGCGGGGGAGTGATCAATTAAAAACAACATGTACCGGTGGAGGTGGCCGATTGCCGCAAGACTGGGGTTGTAGAGGGGATCTCCGTCGGGAGATTCTCGCCGCGCGAATGTGAATAGCCGGTGTAGATAAATTATACCGCGGCAGGCGGAACGCGCGCGCACTTTACTTTCACGCAGCTTAACCAACCGTAGCACGGTCGTAATTTGTGTACTATTCTTCTTTTTTTATTTGTTTATTTATTCATTTATTTTTATTTTTTTTTTTTTTTTTGTTTCGAGTACATGTGTTTACGTGCATTTTACTTTACACACACAGATATATATATATATATATGAACACGTGCGCCGTACAGTGAAAGTTATGAGTATACCGCCGCAATTAGTGCGCCGTCTCTGCGGTGTACGTGATTCTTCATTGTTATCATCTTTTTTTCATTCGTTCTTCTCTCCCGTCCCGTCGACGATCGCGCGGTTCCTCCGTCCACACATTGGTCAGCTGGTGCGGGCGCGCGCATCTGTGTAAACAGCGTAAACTCGCGCGCCGTTATCCGCCACGACCTTACGCAATCGTTCACGAACAATTACTGTGTCGTAGTGTGCGCGCGAGCATTTTCCCTACCGATCGTCTCGCACGTCCGCACGACGCACGTCAGCATCGGTGTACTCCCCGACAGCGATCCGTAGGTCGTACGCGGTCGCCGACGTTTGATCCTCGTGCGACACGAGTGCCCGAATCCCGAGCACCAGTGTCTTCCCGTAAAACCGAAGTGTACGCGATTATTCGTCGTCGCTCGCGAGTAACTCGTGGAATAACTGGACGCTTGCTATAACCATGCACTCGCCATAGCACTGGCAGTTGATCGTTCGCATGACGGTAATCGTTCCGAGTCAAAGCGGGCCAAACTGCACCCGCGCATAATTGCTCCCCGCACTGCTCGGGAACGATAAAAAATGATCGGAAACAATCGGATGGTAAACCGATAAACGTGAGACGCGTGATCTCGGTAATAGCTCAAACTCTGTGAATAATTGTCATCGCTCGTATTCGGCTTCGATTCCGATTGGTGTGAGAGGTCACTTCGAAGATGTTGCAAACAATCGGAATAGTCACTCGTGATTACTTGCGAATAGTGCGGGACGCCTCAACATGCACCTTCACGATGACGTAGCACCGGCCGTCTCACCGTTTCGAGTGCACGAATACGCGCGCATTGCACGGTGCACGCAGTGGCGCGTTATACAGCAATCGGCCGTCCGGAAAAAAAACGCGCGCGGCGTCTCCGGACGGCGAAAACCACTCGCGAATAAATAAACGTGACAATTTTAGAGATCATCAAGCGAAATAGTGCGAGTATAACAATGTGATGATAAACATTTTCCATGCGTGTCGTCGTCGTCGTCGTCGTCGTCGCGGTCGCTCGTGCATGCACCGTTTGGGACGACGACGGACGATCCATGCGTCGGCTGTTGCAAAAGCACAAATAGTCATCAAACTACAATAGAAATAATAATAATAGAACGAGTGCTAGAAGAAAATCAAAATCCAGCAACCACCCGCACGACACGGGTTCACCGGTTTGCGGGTTCGCAGCAAGAAACGCGCGCGGGACAGTGTTGTGCCGGGTATTTTGTATTGTTTGGGGTACAAACGACGTGTCGGTTTCGCGTAATCGTGAAAAACAAATAAGGCACATAAAAAAAAAAAAAAAAAAAAACGTAACCTTAATGGGATAAATTGTTCAGGTTTCACATATTTAGTATATAAGTGACCTTACATAGCATTATGACTCCGGAAACGACATGGATAAGACTGGAATATGTCCAAGACAGACGTCGCACGGAAAATGTACAGAAACCCGTCTCAGATAGACATTTTTATTCGGGTGTATGACAGAGTATATATATCCAAAACGACTGCACTGAAAAATTCGGTGAAACTTGTCTAGGACTGAATAATATGCCGCACGATTCCGTTTCTGACCGATTATCACCGTCCATAGTGTATTAATGGTTTAGCGGCACAACATGTCCCCCGTCGGCAGCAGTCTTCGTCGCGAGACTTAAAATCTTTTTTGTTTGATTTTTGGTTGTTTTGTTTTTTTTTTTTTTTTTGTACATTTACCTTTCAGGCATCCCGACTTTGAATCGGCGCTGTAACCGGCCGGACAGAATTTGCACACGGCCTTATGGCCTTCTACCCCGCACGGGGCATTTGCCGGACACGTAACGTTCGCGCAAGGGTCGACGCAAGCAAAGTTCACGCACGCCTCGTCCTCCGGGCACCCGGCGTCCCGGAGGCACATCGATGCGGTGGGCGCACAGTTGTCCGCGCACACACACACGGCCCGGTGGTCGAGCACCAGGCACTTTTTGTCGGCCGCGCACGGTCCGTCACCCCCGCCACCAGCGGCCTCACACGGGCTCCGGCACTGACCGTGGCCCGTACACCGCAAGTGCGGCGCGCAATCGCCGTCGACCCTGCACTCGCGTTCCGCGGGCGCGCAAGACAGCTCGCCCAGCTCGGTCACGGCGAACCCGTACTTGCACACGCACCGGGCCCGGTGGTTGCGCACCACGCACGCTTTGGGCGCGTCGCATGACAGCCCGTCGCACGGGTCCCGGCACGCGCCGTCCGCCGCGCACGCCCGCGACGCCGGACAATCCGCGTCGCCGGTACATCGGGACGCGGTCACGTCGTCGCCGGCCCGCACGCAACTCTTCGGATTCGGCGCGCACCCTATTGCCGGGTCGCCCGCGTAACAATCCGGGCACGCGCACTGCGCCCTGTGCAACACCGGCCGGCAAAGCGCGTTCAAGCCGCAAGTATCTCTCACGCTACACACGTCGACGCAACGTCCGTCGATGCACGTCTTTTCGTTTGCACACTGACCGTCGTCGACGCATTCGACCGCTGCGGAAACGCGTCATAAAAAAAAAAAAAAAAAAAAATAACAGCAACATGTCAGAATATGTACACACATTTATATGTACACGGGTATGTGTGTGCGTGCACAAGAGTGTGCGAGTGTGTTTTTGTCACAAGATGGCTGAAAATTATCTCCGATGTGCATTCGTATATTTTTATAATCGTTTCGGTTTGATTTTATATCGATTAGAGGTGACGCCGGATCGGTTCAAGTTTTCAATGCGGAATCAGCCATTGAATAGGGATGTGAAGGAGTAAAACGGATTTAAGTTGTGTCAAAATATTATTGAAAGCACGTTCGGTTTATCGAAAATGTCAAGTTATTTCGGTTCAACCGTATCATAAAACATTACACGACATTGCACGATATCGACCGCGTGACGCGGATAATAACCGTTCAGATAGGTGGGTAACAGGTGGTATCTGTAGCATGATAATCGAATGAAAAAAAATATAAACTCGAATAAATAGTATTCATTTTTGGCGATAATATGATTTGTATTTCGTAATTAGGCGTTTAGATCAGGTTGATTAGTTTTAAATATATAAGAAAATAATTGTGATTAAGATAAATTTTCGAATTTATGATTACTGAACCATAGTATTAAATCAAATAAACTATCGACTAATGAGCATTTAATTTGGTACACGTAAAAGGATTAAATGTTAATTTTAATTAGGACAATCTCTCAACTAGATGATAAAAGTGACGAAATTCTCTTTTCCATTAATATCATTATACTCTAAATATATATATATAAAGATGTGTAACATTAGCATTGTTGAAAGTATGAGTACATACAGTATTTTTGATGAAGGATTTTTAAAACTTATTTTTCTTTTAATTATAAATAAATTTTAATTGGGATTTTTTTTAAAAAAAAAAACAATGCACAGCTATATGTTTATAATATGTGGATGATAATATTAAGCCACCTTGTTGTAGATAAAAATTTACAAATACTTTAAAGTGATGGAAAGAACTGTGAAAGAATTTATTCTCACAACATGCCACTGAAATATGCCCAAGCAGTAAACCGTTTCAAGAAACCAAAAGTGACTTTCAATTACAATGTAATACGTTTTAAGCAAATCACGCTTCGTGCACAATAAATTACAATTGTTTATGTTAAACGTGTGAGTATAACGCTTTCACAGTTCCCTCCAATCTGAACATTGAGTATATAGGCACATCAAGTTCAAATACGATAATACTAAAATTTATTGGAGGGATTGTGATTATATATATATATAAATATATAAAATAGTTATCAACTCAATTTGAAACATGACATTCAAAACAATCATATTGGAAATTCCAGATTGGGGGAAACTGCTCATACTTCCACGGTTAACTTAAGTGTATAATATATAGAATAACAGTTCAGATTAAACTAAAACCATTGGTAGTAAAACAATATTGCACGACTTTAAAAATATATTTATAAATATATACAAAAGCTGTAGGTACCTAAAAATCATGCATTATTGTCTATCTACAAATTATTTTGTATATACATTTAATTAGATCTTGACTATATACATTACACAACTGATTTTGTCTAGAAGTAATAATAAAAACGGAATTCACAATATTCACAGCTCGGACCTGTGGAACAACCTATAAGATTATTGGACGAATTCTAAACACTTACCTTGTGTGCACTCTTTTTGGGGAGAACCGGTCATGCCTACTGGACATTGGCAAATGTATCCTCCGTCCTGGAGTAGACAACTGGCACCCTTACCGCAACCATTTGTTCGACAATCAGCCGGTAAATTTTTCATTTCACCTTATAATTATAATTTTTTTTATATATATGATCATTGCATTCCTCCTAAGATTTTTTTCTCTTACATTTCACATACGGATTTCCTGCGGGATATTCAATTGGGCAGTAGCATTTAGCTTCTTGATCGTTGACCGGTTGACAAAGTGCGTGTTTTCCACATACAACAGTTTTGCAGGGATCAGATCGCTGTTGAGCTTGGTCACATACGCATCGTTTACTAGGGTCACCCGTGCATCCTGGAGGACATAAACATTCGAAACCTCCAGGTATATCTTTGCATCGACTATTTTGTCCACATGGATTCGATGCACATTTATCTGCTGTACCTATAATTTTATATTATTTAATAACAATTTACAAAAAAATCTCTCAAGTATTTCTAGCTTTTAAAGTTTTAATTTAAAAATTGAATAATAATCGAATTTAGATTTTATTTTAATTAAATGGATTCATAAAGAGCGCCAAAGACAAGAGAAATTCTACATACAAGAAATATTATATTAAAATTATAAAGTAATTCAACTTCATAAAGATAATATCTTAATACTATAAATAACTAATTACACACCGTGAACAATAAGGATTATGAACTCTTACTTTTTTATCTTGATCTTATCTAATATGAATGCTTAAACCGTTTCATCAGTTTGGCAAGCATTAGTATATAATTTTTAACCGTTATGATTGTTTGTTTAAAAATATTTTACTTTTGTAGAAATTATATATTTTATAAGATCATTACGTAATACTTACCGGGTTTACATTCGAGTTGTGGATTTCCATAATATCCAGGCGGACAAGTACAATGAGCCATTTTATTTGTGACTCTACATTGTGCATTCGACCCACAAGCTCCTTGCTCCAAACATGGATTTCTACACACTTTATCAGAACCACATTTTTTGTTCGTTTCACAGTCATCATCTTTATCACAAGAGTATCTGATGCACTCAACATTAGGTTCTCCTTGGAATCCATCGGGACACGTGCATACAGCTCTATGATCGTTAACACGACATTCAGAATTATTTCCGCAAGGTATACTTGGCGCATCGCAAGGATTTTTGCATTTTCCATTTTGACATGAATGGTCAACAGCACAATCTACATTAGAACGACATCCAACTGTGCATACTCCATTCGTACATATATGGCCCTTAAACATTAAATTAATAATTGGTTAAATACATTTACCAAGTAAAATTTAACTTCAAGACATTACTGTTGGACAATCCGTGCTGGAACTGCACTTCGTTGTACATATATCTTTGTGACATATTTCTCCACATGAACAATCTTTATTGAACGTGCAACGTTTTATACAGTATCCGGTTTCTACATCACACGGACACGTTCCGTCACATTTTAAAATTGACTTAGTACATCCAATTAATGGATTTCCATTGTATCCGGTCATACAACTGCATTGAACTCCATGGTTGATAACTTTACACTGAGCACATGGTCCACATGTAGTAGGACTGTCACAGGGAGCTAAACAAATGTAAGTTTTTAAGTTATAACGAACGCTTTGAAACTATGTCTTAACTACCTCTGCATTGTTTGTCGATGCATGCTTCATTATCGTGACATGATGTATCACTATGACAACCTTCAATACATAAACGATTTTCGCATATCTGATTTGGACTACATTTTGAGTCTGAGTTACATACTGCTTTACAAATTCCGTTATGACATCGTTCATCAGATAAGCACTCCAAGTCCCTATAATAAAATTCCATGCATTATTATAAATATTTACTATTGTTTTGTGCACCAATAAATTATAATAATGTATAGCTATTTACGTTCGGCATACTGCTTGACATGTAGACGAATAGCATGTTTGACCTGAATTACAGTCACTGTTTCCTTTACAGCTAATCAATGGATATCTACAAGCAAGTAATGGATCACCTTCCAGTAGTAAAGGACAGCTACATTGTTTTTGATGGTTTGAAATAGAGCATAATGCATTTACACCACACGCAGTCGGAGATTCACATAAGTCTAAATTTAATATTGTTTATTTTAAAGAAGACAATTGTATACCCTTAATTTATTTTAATATTTCAGTTATACGTACCTCTGCACTTGTTGTTAATGCACGATCGATCAAATGGACAGTCGGTGTCACTTCTACAGCCAACATTACATACTAATCCACTGCAAATTTCTCCGCTTCGACAGTCATCATCTTTACGACATAATGGTTTACATATGGAAACTGACATATCGCATTTTTCGTTTCCATGACAACTGGCATCCGAAGAGCACACAGGTTGACAAGAATCGTCTTTACACGAGTATCCTGCTGGACATTCTTGATTCTTGTTACATGGTTCGGCCGGTGTTCTAACACATGCTACTTTAGCTGTGGGATTAGGAACGAATCCTACTCGACAAGAACACATGGCTCTTTGATTTGCCACTGTACAAACGGCATTAGGCCCACAGGGCATTGCCAAGCAAGGATTTGTGCATACGTTATCTCTACAAGACTCGACGGAAGCACAATCATCGTTTGATTTACAACCAAATAAACACATATTATTCAGACATATATGTCCCAAGAAGCAGTCGTTATCAACTCTGCATGTTACTAAAATTGTTATAATACATAAAAATGTATTAGTTAATATTTAGTGGAAAAATATTTTTTTATTGTTTATTTTATAAAAATATATAACTTACAAGCACAATGGTTTTTAAAACATTTTTCATTCAATGCACAATGATTGTCAGCTTGACAATCAGGTTGACATACCGATTGATGACATGTGCTATTAGGATAGCAATTTTCATTTGTTTCACAAGCAACAGGAACTATATAAAACAATAACCGTTTAATAAATACATTTCACAATTTTATTATTTGTGTATAACGTACTTCTGACACATTCGATTTCACTGCCACCCGTAAATCCAGCGGGACATGAACAGTGTTTAACGTGATTAAACACTTTGCAGTTAGCATTTAATCCACAGGCTCCTTGTCTCTCACATGGATTATTACATTGTCCTTGTAAGCACTGTTCAGATAAACCACATTCTGCATCTGATTGACAAGATGCTAAAAACAAATTAATACATTACGTGATGTAAAATGAATTTAAATGAAATAAATAATTATAAACACTTACATTTACAAGCTCCATTATAGCAATACGTATTACTTGGACATTGTTGATTAGAAGTACATGCCACAGCTCTAGGTCTACATCCAACATTTAAATCATTTGGATCTCCTTGATATCCCGAGTGACAAACACAAGATCCGTAATGCGTTGACGTTCCACATTCAGCATTCGGACCACATTTCACTTTTTCACAATTGTCTTGACATTTAGGAATACCATTGGTTTGAACACAATGTGCTGCTGGTGGACAGTCTTCATCGATTTGACATTCAACCGGTGAATAGCAACCATCTTTATACGGATCTCCTACTGTTCCAAGCGGACAGAGACATTTAAAAGAACCTCTAGAGTTATCACACCTAGCTCCTGGCCCACAAGGTGATGCTTCACAAAAATCTAATACATCACAACCAAAGTATGGATCTCCGGTATATCCTGGTTGACAATAACAAACCTATAAAAATAATTATTTTAATCAATTTCATCAAATACAAAAATTACAGTTATTTTTTATTTATTTATTTATTTATTTTTTTTTTTTTTGATTTTTAGAAATACTAGGTACTTATTATGGTATATTAAGAAACGTATATACTTGTTGGTGATTTTCTGCAGAGCACAAAGCATTTGGACCACAGGGGTTGTTTGCGAGACATGATATTTTACACATGTGATCCTCACATATTTTATCATTTGTACAATTTTCGTTTTCATAGCATTCTATCTTATGACATCCTATATGTGGATTTCCGTGGTAACCAGGTTGACAATTGCATATTGGTTGGTGATCAACTGCTGAACACTCAGCATGTCTTCCACAAATAACTTCTTCGCAAATGTCAATGCACTGAGTCTACATATGATCACAAAATTAAAGTAATTACGATAATTAAATATAAAAATATATTTCTGTATATTTTGAACTACCTGTCCAATTGTATTTGTCTTACAAACATGCGTATCTTCACAGTCATTGTTTGTAAAACATCGGAGTTCTTGAACGCAAATATTATTCAAACAGTATTGATATTCAGGACAAGTCATGTTTCCGTGACAAGTAGGTTGGCATATACCTCCAATGCAGAGCTCATTACCAACGCAATCCCTGGCTAAGTTGCACTCCACTATACAAATTAAGTTACATTAAATGAAATAGTTATTCAAAATACTGTATGTAATTTATTGTCTTAATACCTGTACATATTCCATTGTTACATTTAGTTGCAGTAGGACATTGACTATTAGAAGCACAATATAATATAGAAGTGCAGCCTAAATGAGGATCACCTGTATACCCTGCTTTACAGGTACACGTAGCAGCGTCATTTTGTATACTACAGTCTGTATTGTCTCCACAAACTTTTGGTACAGAACACGGATTAACGCATTTTGAGTTAACACAAGCTTTTCCCAAAATACAGTCATTATTGTTTGTACATTCAACATTTAAACATTCCACCTACAATCCAAATACACGTGTTTACGTTATTCAAGTAATTTTAAATCATAATTTGTATAAACCTTAGGATCTCCTTGAGTTTTTAAAGGGCATTGACATTGAATTTCATGATGTTGGACTGAGCAAGTTGCATTACGACCGCATACTTTATTATCTTCGCATGGGTTTTTGCAATGATTTTGATGACAAATAGCACTTTCTGGACATTCATCGTTAGTGGTACAACTGTTTGGATAGTGACATCCTTCTGCATGTGGATTACCCAATAATCCATCAGGACAAACACAGGTAAATGATCCTGGAGTATTTTCACATATTGCGGTCTTATGACATGGGCTTTGTTTACATTCATCAACATCTTGACACTTTCCATTTTTTAGTTCATAACCATTATAGCAAGTACATATTCCTTTATGCTTGTATGCCTTACAATTTCCATGTCCACAATTTATTAAATCACAAGGGCCTGAATTATAAAGTGATTACATTTCATTATTGTTATACTTGAATAACCTACAACTAAATTATTTACTTACTGGTGCATTTATTACTGCTTGTTTGGCACATTTTTTCGTTTGGACAATCTTCGTTAGTAAGACATTGAACTTTAAAACAGCCTACGTTTTTATCAAAAGCATCTCCTAAATATCCTGGAGGACATGTACAAGCTGTAACATGATCAACCATTTGACACAATGCATTATTTCCACATGCATCGTTACATATTTCTGTACATTTTCCTTTTACACATGCCAAATTTGAGGCACAATCCTCATGGTTTTTACATTCATTAGGCTTGTTGCATCCAGGTTCAGTGTAAGGATCCCCTACTTTTCCATCAGAACATAAACATTGAAAAGAGCCGGGAGTATTTAAACATTTGGCACTTATATGACATGGGTTTTGCAAACATTCATCAATATCATTACAGCCAGAGGGTGAACTTGCAAAGCCAATACCACATCTATAAAGAAATAGTTTATTACAATTGTTGGTAAAATATATATGATAAGTTGATTATTTTTTTTATATATTACCTGCACTTGTTTCCAATGCAAATTTGACTAAAATCGCAATCAGAATCTGAAGAACAACCTGGTCTACAAATACCTTCTACACAAACTTCTCCGGTTAAGCAATTACTTGCTGTAAAGCAAACTTTTTCACATTTATTGCTCGTGCACCTTTCTCCTTCAGCACAATCCATTCCACTCATACATACAACTTTGCATATGTTTCCATTACATTCATGTCCCAATCCACATTCAGCATTATTATGGCATATACTATTTGATCGAACACAAGATTCTTCAGGGACAGGATTTGGTTGAAAACCTTTGTTACAACTACAAACAACATTATGATCAACAGCGGTGCATTTTGAATTTATTCCACAAACACCATCACGTTTACATGGATCTGAAATTGTTTTTTTATTATAAATATTTCACAAACAAATAAAATAAAATGTATTGTAAATATCAAAAACGTACTTTGACATTTAGCGTTGATGCACGATTCATTACTTAAACAATCCTTATTACTCCGACATCCCAATGTACATATTCCATTTATACACGCCTGTGATGACATACATTGAGAATGTCCAGCGCATGGAATTTCGCATTTATTTTGTACACATCTTTCACCAGTAGAACAATCGTCAATGTTTCGACAGACCACTTTAGAATAAAAATAAATTAATAAATCAGTGGTCCTCAAAAAATTAGATCAAAGTAAAACAACTAACCTTTACACTCTCCATTGGAACAAATACCACCTTTGCATTCCAAATCATTGAAACATGTAGTTACCGATCTGATGCATCCAATATTTGGTTCACCATGAATTGGTTCAAAGTTATCAGGACATGAGCATACTGGTTTTCTTTCAATAATATTGCAGATTGTGTTTATTCCACATGATTTCTCGCATGGGTTTACGCACCTACCCGATTGACATACACTCAATAATGGACAATCGATATTTCCATTAGGACATAGACCTTCTTTTCTACATCCTTCTATATATGCATCACCTATATGGCCAGGTGGACATCTACAGATATACCCTGATGTGGGGTTCGATTCACATATGGCGGTAGAATGACATGAAAATTCATTACACACTTCGGTGGCTTTACACGATATTTCTGGAATTGGGTCAGGTTTAAAACCAGGAGGACATTGGCATATTGACTTATGTCCATCGGCAAGACAAACAGAATTCGTTCCACATGTATATTTGTCACATAAATCCATACACGAATGGGACTGTCTGTCACAAACTTGAGTTTGTGGACAATCATCATTGTATACACAGGAAACTTCCTGACAACCGTTCGAGTCGTATGGATCGCCAGTAAATGTTCCAGGAGGACACTGACATTGAGCAACGTGATTATTTGCTACACAAATTGAATTTAAGCCACAGACCGTATGATCGCAAATTGGCTTACATGATTTTAATCTATTTGTCGGGTCTTCTAGACAAGCTTCAGTAGGCAAACATTCAACGTCTTGTTGACAACTACTCTTCTTAATTGGGTGACAACCATTTCTATCGTTAGTGTTTCCTACATACCCGGGCAGACATTGGCAACTACCTTCATGACTACTAGCAACACATATAGAATTAAATGGACATGTTAGTTCGATACAAACTGATAAACATTTTAACACTCCCAATGCATCTGGTTTACATGATTCATTATCTTTGCAATCAGCATCAACTGAACAGTCAGGCAATGAAGGTTTTTCGCACTTTGATATAATTGGATTCCAAACAAATTCTTGACGACATGAACAAACGGGTGTGCCATTTTGTTCTAACAAACAAATTTCATCCGGCCCACATGCTACTCGTGTGCATGCACTAACGCATGATGACACTCCATCGGGTACTATAGAACATATTTGACTAGGTAATTTACAATCTTTGTCAGTTCGGCATTCTCCTTTAGGTGCAAGTTTTTCGAGCTTACAACCAGTATATAAATCTCCGGGATTTCCGAAATATCCTTCAGTGCAAATGCACGAAGAACGATGACTTTCCGTTACACAAACTGCATTGGGTCCACATTGTAATTTACTACAACCATCTACACATGTTCTTGCTTCTTTGTTTATTTGAAAACATATTTCTGTATCTTTGCATTCAGCATCATTAGTACATTGACCTTGAGGTTTACATCCAGTTATAAAATTGTAAGGGTCACCGATTAATCCTGGTGGGCATACACATTTTCCAAATACACAACCGGCTCTAACACCACATTTGATGTTATTACATTGATTTTCACATTTTCCACGTTTACAAGTAAATCTATAATAATAAAAAAATAAATAATTACATGATGCAAATAAAAATATTTATATATATTGTAATATATATAGATAAAAAGTTAAAACTATTAAAAAGTAATTTAATTAAATTAAATATAATTATAAATTATTTAGCTTACCCTAAAGGACACGGCACATTTTTTGAGCATTGACAAGTTGTTGGATCGTGACAGATTTGTGGCGTTTTAGCCGAACATTCTAAAAATGGATTTCCAACGTAACCTTCAATGCATCTGCAATCATAACTTCCAATTGTGTTGATACAAACCGCATTGTTACCGCAAGCAGAAATTAGGCATTCGTCAATATCTATCAATGAATAATTTATGAATAGATTTATTTGCCGATAAATTAAGTTTTAAAAATGTAAGTACTTACCGACACATTGCACATAAGCATTTCCTTTAAATCCAGATGGGCAATAACATTCAATAGAATTCAATTTTTCTTTACACAATGCTCCAGTTCCACAAGTCGTATTAGAACATGACTTTTTAAATTGAGAATCACATTCATCATACGGATTTCCTATGAACCCAGAATTACAAACACATTTGTTTTCATTGAATATATCATATTCGCAATGGGCATTAATTCCACATCCAGGGAAGCACGAAGGCATTGAAATTGCTAAATAAATATTTAAAGTGAATGATTAATACTTCGTGTTACATATTTGTTATAAAATTAACATAATAATAATAATGTGTATACTTACGAGGCATACAAATGTAATTGGGATCACCAATGAATAATGGATTACAAACACATTCATTTGTTTCGTGATTACAACTGGCTCCTATACCACAGAAATGATCTTCACATTTTTCTTTGCATCGTCCGGCAACACAAATGTTAGGCGCAGCACAAGGACTCGTGCTCGAGCAAGCATCAGGCTTACAAAATCCACCGGCAAATGGATTTCCTATATAACCTTCCGAACATTTGCAAGTTGGTCCTTGTGGTGTTACTATACATTGTGCATCAGAACCACAAATATACCCTTCACATGCTATGAAATTTAATAAAATATATAGTAATTATAAAATGTAATTTTAGAATTCAATTTAGTCGAATAACCTTAAACAAATGATCCTAAATACTTACGCGACACACATTCACCAAATATAGACTCAACATAACCAGCATTACATCTGCACCATGCAGCATGTTTTTCAGATTCGCAATATGCATTTTGACCACAGGGTAAAATGCTACAAGGGTTCGTGCAAGTTCCTTTAACGCATGCCAATTGTGCAACACATTCGTCATCCGTGGAACATTCAATTTCTGGTGCTTCTTTCCCTAAGCCTATAAAAACAACAAATATTATTATAATCTCACTATAGATATAACCCTAGTAGATCCAAAACAATATTACACATACACCCGACAGAATATGGATCGCCATTTGTTCCGGGAGGGCAAATGCATTTATAGTGTCCTTTTTCGTTTATACACTGTGATCCTAACGAACAAGGATTGTTTTTACACTCGTCGATATCTTCACAGCCATGTAAAGGATCTCCTTTGTATCCAGGTAAACATAAACATTTCGGAGGATCGCTTGGTGTACATTGTGCATTGATACCACACGGAAACCGTTCACAAGGACCTACATGGTATAAATACACGTTGAAAAATAAAATTATAACATAAATATATAAATTCATACTTTTGCAGACGTTATTGTCAAGAACATCGGTGTAATATGGCACGGGGCAAACGCAAACTCCTGGTTGAATACAATTTTCATTCATTAAGCAATCCGAATCTTTAATACATTTTTTTTGACTGCGTGAGCATCCACGGTATGGATCTCCACTATAACCCTCTGGACACGAACACTCATATGTGCCTGGTTTATTGATACATTCGGCACCGTAACCACATGAATTAATTTTTTCTTCACATTCGTCGACATCTAAAAAATTATTTCAAGGTTAATATTTAAATTTATGAAAATAAAATACACACACACACACACACATATATATATATATATATTTAAATATATATATACATACCATAGCAAGATCCATCTTCTTTAGGTCGATATCCTTTTGGACAAGCACAATAGCTAACTCCACCTGAAATAGACACACACTCTGCACCAACTGGGCATTTTCCTTCATTACAACCAGCTAATGTGCACTCCCCATTAACAATTTGATATGGTGGTCTACACTGACATTCTAACGAATGACATTCTAAACAGATAAAAAAAAAAAAAAACAATCAAAAATGAAAATAAATTTATATTACATTAAATCGATAATATTACCTTCGCAGCTAGTAAAAGGGTTTCCATTGAAGCCCGGAGGACATTGGCACTCGTAACTACCGGGAAGATTCTTGCAAACTGCGTTCACTCCACATGCTGGTTTGTCTCTAAGTTCGGTGCATTCATTGGCATCCCTACATTTACCAGTTTTCGGATCTCTCAAATAGCCTCTTTGGCAAATACAGACGCTTTCACCCACAAATTCATCTCGTACACAAATCTCTGATCCGGGACAAGGAGATTTTGTACTACAATGTGCAGGGCTTTTGGCTTGAGAACATCCTTCTCTAAATGGGTCACCACCATTTGTTCCACCGGGGCATTGACACGAAAACGATCCAGGTTCGTTATTACATACTGCTCCTGGTCCACAAGGATTACCCTTGCATTCATCTATATCTAAACACCCAGTGTTCGTATTTCCCGTATACCCGGCTGAACACATACATTGAGCGTTTTGATTGAGTAGCATGCATTCAGAATTGGGACCACATTTTACATCTTCACACGGATCTTAATATTTAAAATATTTTATTAGTATGTTTGACGTTATGATACATTATGATACGTCGGATATTATTCTTACGTCTACAATCATCACCAACATTCGGCTCCGGACAAAAACAACGCTTTTGATTGTTGCAAACAGAATTTCCTGGACATTCGATATCAGCCGTACAGTTTATGACTTTGGTGCACTTAATAAATGGATCCGGATCAGGTATAGAATTTCCAGGACAAATACAATTAAACGTTCCTGGTAAATTAATACATAAAGCATCTTTTCCACAACTATTAATGTCAGAGCATTCATTAATATCTGTAAATAATTCAAAAATAATATATTAGGTACTTAAATCATTAATATTATATCATATGCACAATATACAAATAACTGATTAATATTTAAATTGTATAATCATACCAGTGCACTGTTTAAATGCGTTTCCCGTGAATCCTGGTTTACATTGACATCCAAAACTTCCTGGAGTGTTTGTACATAATGTGTTTGCTCCGCACCGACCGAACGGTCCATTTACTTGATCACATTCGTCAATATCTTAAATTATATTTTACATTATTATCATTTTTACATAACATAAAACATAAAGGTAAAATAAAACATAAATCAATCTTACCAACACATCCTAAAGATAAATCATTTGGATTATACGTCCATCCCTCTTCACAAATACAATATGCTTCTTGGCCATTGGGTTTACAATAAGCGTTAACTCCACATTTAACATCTTCACATGGAGCTAAATATATATAAAAAAATGCATAGTTATGTTAAGAGTTAAATACAAATAAAATATAAATTATAATGTACCTTTGCACTGTATTCTCGGCGGAGCACCTACGTATCCAGTTTGACATTGACAATGGAATCCACCCAAAGTATTTGAACACATGGAATATGGACCACATGGCTGAGCCAAACACTCGTCTATATCTACACACACTGATCCCTTAGCTTCAAATCCGTTTTTACAAAAACATTGACCTTCAGTACATTCAGCATTAGTAGTGCAGTCAAAGTTTGATTTGCATAACACCGTTACATCGACCTAAGTTTAATAACAGTTGAAACATTAATTATTTATTATAATGAACACCATAATATTGCTATTTACTTGTTCACAGGCAACTTTTGGATCTGGTTTACCAGAAAATCCTTGTGGGCAAAGACAATTAAATCCTGGGCTAGTATTTTCGCAAAATGCATTAGGACCACACGGTTTACTTAAAATTTCACATTCGTTGATATCTAAGTAGATAATAATATAAAAGTTTTAAAGAATTTAATTCAAAAGATATATTAGAATGAATTACCATGGCATCCTTTAATCGGGTCACCGGTGTAATCTTCTTTGCACGAACAAACAAAACTTCCAATTGTATCCGTGCAAATACTATTATTTCCACAAGGTGCATGATCGCATTCGTTTATGTCTAACACGAACAAATTAATTATCATTAGTATTTATCACGTTAATTTGAGTAGAAAAATAAAAATGAATGCAAAAGACATAACTACACAGTATAAGTCAAGAAGTTGTTCCAAAACAATAATAAATTGGTACATACCAAAAACTTGATGCGTTCGTGCCACACAATAGAAATAAAAAGAATCGGTTTACCTCCAACTATTCAATCAGGTACATGCTGCTAAGTACTTGTAAAAATAATAATAATGAATTCCTGGCCGACGAGAACCAAAAACAATATTGTACGCTTTATTTTTACTAGAATGCGTAAAACACTCGAGAAAAGTAATCAAAACTTAGCTCGATACGATTAGATACTAGAGACTAGAGTATTGGCCCCACAATAGCTAAAATGAAATATGCGTCGCGAAATGAAAGCGCCATGCAAAACTAGAAACGTGTACAAATTGAGAGGAATCAAGCGTTACTGGATGGGCACTAACTTTGGCAATAATCTATTGCTGAACCAGTGAACCCCTGCGGGCACAGACAAGTGTACGACCCGGGGGTGTTTATGCACTTGGCGTTGATGCCGCACGAGCTGGACGACAGTGCGCACTCGTTAATGTCCGTGCATCCTCCGCCCTCGGCCGACCCGGCGTAGCCGGTGGTGCACACGCACGTGTAGTTTCCCATCGCATTCACGCACTCGGAGTTCGGGCCGCACGGAGATGATTCGCATTCGTCTACGTCTGCATTTGCAACGGTTGGTTAAACGATATCAAAAATGTTAAGTAAGCGAGTGTTAAACTTGTGGTAAGTGAACACATCGTACTATTATTTACAGATAATATCTTTCGATGCGTAACGTCGCTGGACGTCATAATACGTTTGTGAACAGGTTTCGGTTATGCGGCGTATTTGTTGACGAGACATAGAATGCTACATTAGTCAAAGATTTAAACCAGTCGATTTCACTCGAGTGCAGTTTTGACATCGGTATACAGATGCGATACGTTACATTTTCAAACTTTTGTGTGTATTCCGAAATTCGTGCAAGAGATATTTAAAAAAAAAATAGTTAATTGAGACTGTATACGTTTGTCTAAAACTCAAAAATTACATTTTTACAGTTCGTTGCTGTTTAAGATAATTTGATTTGAGAAGTCAACAAATACGATAGAATGTTTATAATTGTTAATAAGTCACGGATTAAATTGCGTGTTGTATTATACAATATCTGGAGGCGAGCCCTCATGTTTTCGTCGCATACCTTTGCAAGAGTGGAACGGATCGCCGACGAATCCTGGCGGACAGGAACATCGAAAACTGCCTTCATTGTTGTGGCATAACGCGTCTCGGCCGCAAGGTCCCCGAGAACATTCGTCAACATCATGACATCCAGCCCCATACGCATCACCTGTGTACCCTTCGGGACACTCGCAATGGTGTCCGCCCGGAAAATTCGTGCACAGGGACCCTGGGCCACAGGCATTCGGCAGGCTGCATTCGTTTACGTCCACGCACTGCCAAAGAATAATTAAAATGTTAAACATGTCAGTTGTATAGTGTATAATCCTCAAATAGTTAACCGAACAGTTTGTTATTTAAAAGTTACATCGAAGGCTTATTAATTGCTAAACATGTATAACAAAAAAAAAAAAAAAGAAAACATACATTTTCATAGTCTTTAAAATAAATGTATAATGATATTTTTGTTGTGAAAATCGTGTTCAATTTATTTTTATGTGAAATATATTTATTCATATAATGATATCATCAACTATTTTATTTTGATCTTCGATACATTTCTACTACGCAATTAAATTTAAAAGAATCTCAAGTTTACATTTGGTAGATACGTATAGGAACAAAGTTTTAAACTTTAAACGATAATCGTTACAGATATGATTCGTAAAAAAATCGATTGTGTTTTTGTTTTGAGTAACTAATAAATCCCGATTTAATGAATTATTAAGCATCTACTATCATTGCGGTAAATTATTTTTCACTGCAACTAGTTTAAGGTTTTAAATGGAATAAAAGAACAAAAACACTAATTAAAAAATTATTATAATTATTTTGAAATCGTCTTAAGGCATTCAATAAGAACATTCACACAAGTATTTATTAGGTCTGTTATGCCAACAGTAATTATAGGTGCGATTCAATTATTAATAGTAAATTAGCTGTATGCATATAATACCTATAGTGGCCATTATAACAAACGATTAATGTTACGCTATTAAAAATTGTAGTTCCTCTAAATCCTTATATGGCATTCGCAGACGATTCAGTTTACGTAAGTAATATCTTCTAACATCTGCAATTTTACCGATGATGTCAAGATAATAAAAAAATAACATCACCATAACGTCACACACTTAAAAAACCAGAATCGCCAATGAAGTATAGTGGTAATAATGATTTTTGTACCGTAATACAATTTAATATTTAATACTACTAATTACTATATTCCAAACGTTATTGCAGATAACCCTGTAATTAGATTAATTGGCTGTTGCATTTTATCATTTTCAACCGTAACGATTTAAAATTAATGTTATATTGATGATAATGATGAATTAATTGAAATAAAAAACAATTGGATATCCCATTAAAGCGTTAAAGATAAAAAAAAATTTGTTTTAGCACGAGTTTACTCGTATAAATGTAGATAAATGCTTTTATTCGTTGATCGGACGAATGTATTAATTTGTACAGAACTGTACAATCTGTACAAACCTGTATTAACATGTACAGAAAGGTACAAACGTATTCCGATAATGGAACAAATAAATACCACTCGATTTGTGGATACGTAAATCCGCGGAAAATTAAGTCTGTTAGAATATTATGCAATCGGAATAATTACCCCGTCGTACGGATTGCCGACAAATCCTGACTGACACTCGCACGTATGGTTACCCGGTGTGTTTCGGCATATCGCGTTGTTACCACAGGCGTCCGGTCTCAAACACTCATCAATGTCTGAAAAAAAAAAAAAACACATACAGTTATTAGTACTTAGCGTACGTATGACGTTACCGCGTATAATGGTCGTCGTAAAACCATAGGTACGCCCGTGTGAAATATGCGGTTTATTAGCATACCACACGTTCTGGTAATAACTACGAAAATAAACACGGTACCTATTCATGCACGGGGATATTATTGCGGATGAGCAATTATAACTATTGACAATAACATTTTTGAAATTAGTCAAGGTTTCGAACCCATCGATAACCGACTTAACCGCACAGTAAGCGTTAATTACACATCGCATTAGCAGTTGGTAATAATCTTGGTATTTGTCAATATTCTTGGTTTTACGTTCCAAAATAAATATAATTCGAACAAGAGGCTGCGAGATTTTTCAGAAATCGGTAATGATTCGGAATTCCCGGGAAAAATAGACACGCTGAAAGCACCCACGAGACCAAACGAACGATTCGATTGTCCTGCTCTTTTCAGATCGGTCGTTGAATTCCTCGGTGATTGATGGGAAACTACGGCAAGGTCGACGACTGTATTGCAATTTTTCGGTTGTCAGGCCTATTTCGAATGTTTTGACAATGGCCAATAGTGTCGTTTCGAATGAACGGTCGACACATGCACATCGCTAAATAATTCCCAACGACTTACCTCTACACTCGACTTCGCCGTCGCCGACGTATCCGGGTTTACATTTGCACAAAAAATGCGATGGTAAGTTGCAGCATTCGGCGTTCTGTACGCATCTGGACGCAATGGCTGGATCCTCGCACTCGTTAATATCTAAAGTTAAATTGATTCAATTATTTTAATTATTGGCCATAGATTGTTGATGTTGTTTACTCTTGAAAATTGTTATTCCCCGTTAAAATTTGGGCCAAGGACAACAGAAGAAAATGACACTAGAGCACCGGTGGCCCACATCACGTAACACATCTTTCTCGACGTGCACGTGATTTAAATAGCTATTATCGCTGTGCACTGGTATACGTATGCATGACCACAGACGCCATATTATTAGTTTTTATGGAATAATGTCATACCTTAGATGCCTTACTACGAACAATATCAAGATGGGAATTTGTTTCAGTTATTGTTTGGAATCCGAGGAAAACTACTAGAGTTTATTAAACATAATTTCGATGTAGGTTTAATAACACGAAAAATAATAATCGCAACCACTGACATTTCGTGTCGCCGCTTCCGCGAAGTTATTACAGTGCGTACAATGTACAACAATAAAAATATTAAAAAAAAGCTACTGAAACATGGTTCAGGGAAAAATCATGGTAATAATGTTAATCCGGTTTCGCCAGTCTTGAAGTATATAACGGTACGTTATATAAAAACAGACTGGGAGACGGCCGCGGAATGGATAAGTAACCCATGCAAGGTCGATGCCATTTAGACTACGTTCCGCAAGAACCACTGGCCAGATTGCTCGATCACGGTTTCGTGTATAATATAATTATACACGGCGCTCGGACGTGATTATGCGCATATTATGGGTGCAGAAGTCTTCTATGCGCATGTGTACCTACGTATATGCGTTTACGCGCGTATTCGTATAAATGTTTATATATATATATTTAATATTATCGTGTATTGTACTGTTATACGTGCGGGCGTGTGTGTTATGCGACTCTTAATTGTTCATACCTTGGCAGTGAAATCCGTCTCCGACGTATCCAGGAAAACACGAACACGTGAAGCTGCCCAATGTGTTGGTGCAGTGAGCGAATACATCGCACGGGCGGTACTTGCATTCGTTCTCGTCTAAAAATAATATCGCGACATGTTACAATAATCAATTACATTACATCCGAGTCCATAGGGACTTTTAATGTGAGAATTCGCGCTTGAACGATGACGGTACCTGGCACTTGACATGAACATCCACCGTATCCGTCGTTACAATGGCAAAGGGAATCGAGACATGCACCGTTCTGACAGGGCGTTCCTTCTTTAGCCTCGCAGTCATCTGAAACAATGGCGAACGTTATATATTTCAAATGTAAATCGTTTATCCGAAGGTCACATAATGGTCATACGCGCTTAAAAAATAAAACATTTACAAATATATATATATTGACTGAGGACTGTAATAAGATACGAAGAATCCGTAAGTACACTGGATGTCTCGCGATATTAGAAACGTACGAGTATGCACGGTACATTTATATAACACAATACCTATAAATAACGCGTTGTAGTTAGTCTTTATTAATTACATTAGTTTCTGTTGTATCACGTACAGATCCGGATGATAACATTTCGCAAGAAAAACCGAACAATTCGCTGTATTCAATTATACAGGCACAACAAATTTACGTATCGCATGACTTACAAAAACGTACAAGTAAGGATTCCGTGATTCTGGTTTTTTTTTCCCGCCGCGACCCAGACGGTATATCATATAAATTCAATTAATATTATTCAATTCGGTTGATGGCCTTGGAAGAAAGTAATACCACCGTTCGATGTAAAAAAAAAAGTTATAGTAAAACCGTCCGTTTTTATTACGCCATTATTTTGTTTTAATTGTCTGCATCTTTAAAGTTTGCATATGTAACATGTATGTTCTTCTAGACCATGGAATACATATTATTAGACCACGTGGTTAAAACTGTATTAACTCTCGAGTACCTTATTAAAGCACAAGTGAACTGTTTGAATATTTAAATTAAACCAAGTTAAATAACAGTTTGCGAGCCTTCGGTTTTGTTGTATACAAATTGTATATATATATAGAGTTCGGTAATGATTCTCATGCGTCTTCGTGCGAGAAACGCGAAACAACGGAAAACGTATTTATTTTTTTATTTTTTAATAATACGTAAAAAAAAAAATTATAAGAAACATAATATAGGTACATATATAATATTATGTATATATACGCGTCCAAATAACTGTGCGATAAACAAAAACGATTTACAGTTAATATGTATGGTGTTACGAGCGCGAAATACACACATAGTGGCGGAAAGAAACGGATGTCCAAATGGTCTTCCAATTACACAGTGCGATGCATGGAAGAAAAGTGAATTAAAGCGACATAGCATTTGTTATACATTCTAAGGTCATTCACCTAACTGTCGTTTTATATATATATTATATTATAGCATAACTATACTTGCACATTCTTTAGAGTGCACGATTTATTTATTTATTCCTATTATCATTATTATTATTATTATTATTATTATTATTAGTAGTAGTAGTAGTAGTAGTTGTAGTAATATTTATTATTTTTTTACCATAAATATTCTATTGCAAAAATATGTTCAGCGTACAGTCGGGGTAATTAACAGTCACCACCGGTAAGAGTATAAGAGATTCTCGGACAATTTATTTTTTCTTGCTCCCCGTAACGAAAATTCGTGACCGACCCGTAATGAAACGTCCCGGCGCGACACGAACAGAGCCCGCGGTTTTCCCGGGACGGCGTTCCATACATCTACACCCGCGTGGCAATAAAACATAAGCCTATTGTTTTTCGCCTATACATCCGCCACGACCACGGTCATTATAACGTGATAAATTATACACCCGGCCGATGCGCTCGCCCGCCAATAATAGTAATGATGATAATAAGAAGATACGTTGACCTCGGTGGAATGGCTCCGAACCAACGGGAATTTCGTGTTAAAAATAAATAAAAATAAATAATCGTACGCGAACGGACGGGACTGTCTAGTGGCGTCTGCCGAAGTTCCGTTCGTGTTGCATATTAATAATTATACATCGTTTCACTGTACGCGCAACTTCCGGTTCGTAGAACGTATCTCGCACGTGCAGTCCCTGCGTGATATTGGCGCAAGACATTATTATTATTATTATTATTATTATTATATTACGCGTACGTGTTCGCAAACCGTTTTGTAATTTTCGATGTACGTATGGAGGCGAAACGATGAGAGAGGTTAAAAAGGGCCTTGGCCTTAACGTTATTCTTTACATATATATACACACGTCAAGTCTGACGTACGCTGTGAACAGTGCCGTAACTACCGGATGTGCAAGGTGTGCATTGCACATCGGCCCCCAAACCGTTATAGGCCCCACACGATGTATTATTATAGACATTTTAACTGAAGTAAATTGATAAAATTTATTTATTTATTTATTTAATGTAAAAAACAGACTTATCATATTGTTAAATATTTATAATCAAATAACATATCCAACTACTAACTAGTTGCCAATGATCAAATGCAATATCATTGATTATAAATACTATTATATTACTAAAATATTTATAATCCTATGGTAATATTAATTTTTAGAACAGAAATAGCAGAAAATAATGCAGGTCTACATTAATGCAGGTCATTTAAAATTAAAGATCTACTAGACTACCTTCCATAATATAAACACCGGTTAACATATTTTATTTATAGTAGGTAAATATTTTTTTGAAAAAATATTTAGGCCCCGAATTCAGATTTGCATACCATCCCCATAGTGTGTAGTTGCGGCACTTGCTGTGAACACTGTACGGTACATATACGTAAGCCATTTTTTAGATATCATAGACGGTGAAGTACACAGACTGTGCTGGCTGAATAAGGTTGTGTACTGGGTCCAATTTTTTGCTACGAAAATTATTTTTAAATACAATGTACTCGAAAAATATCTGTAGTGAACATTTTAAGCTTCGTATGATATTTAAAACATCCGATTTTAAACTTGAAAGTTATAGTCAGTGAAGTATTCATAGCGAATGAACATCGTAAGAAAATAGTTGTTAGAGGAGGGGAGGAATAACTTTTTAAATGTTCCTGATTAGAAAATATTGTTCCAATAAATTTTGAAGATAAAAAAGAAAGAAAGACCTTCTCTAATAGTCAATTTAAATCCGCTTCTGTGTATTAATTTAAAAAATTTAAAAAAATTTTCGTGTATTATATTTGTAGGTTAGGCAAATACTTGACAACATATACGGAAATAGTTGAATCATATTATTTCTCGCAAATGAAAAGAAAAATAATGTGACTGAAAAGGTTTATAAAACGAGTGTGTATTATATAGTTAATAACATCTATATCATTATCAAATATCGAGAAAAAGATAGCAATGCAGTAGATGAAAGGTATAGTGGAGTATAAATTGATAGTTAAATTATAAAGAAATTTTTTTTATCCGTATCGAGTATTTTTTTTATAGAACTGAAGACGCCCGACGACAGTGCACGTATTATTGAATGATGTCATTATATTTTCCCACCGAGATGATGATGAACCGGAAAGAAAATTAACGTGACAATATCTTGCCGAAAAAAATATTACATGTAAGTACTCCATTTTTTTCGTTTCAACTATAATACTATTTATGACGATGTAATACTATATTATACATAGAAATTTAAAATCTTTACGGGTCGATATTAACATAATAAATTCGATTTACCCACTTAGGTGATCTGTCAACATTGAACGTTATGCAAATTACGTTTTGAATACGCAATAAATCAAATCATCTACGAGCTGTGACAATATACAAAAATGCAATGTACATAAAATACACATATTATATTTCTCATGTCCGAACAGATACAAAAAACAAAATCATAAGAATTATCTAGCTTATAGCCGTGAATTATTTGAGTAAAATTATTATGGTATATTGCTGCAATAGTGTTCGTGTAATTGTTATTTTCACTTGTAATAATATTATGCAACAAGTGTATTTAAAAAACGAAGAAGGCTCTCATGGGAATATGGGATAATTAAATGGAAGTCGAAGAGAAATGCGAGGGTTGGATACTTTAACAACAAAAATTACTATAAAAAAAAAAAATAATAATAATACAACATCAGAGCGAGAAATAAAAAGAAATTACTTCGACATCTTTCATAATGTTTTGGGGCGGTTATCCCTATCTTGTCATTATTGTCGGCGTTGTTTGTCTGTTAATGTAACTTACTATAATAACAACAATTGAAACAGATTACGTGTATTGTGGGTGGTACAGAAACCTTTCGGACGATGACATCCTTCAGGCATATTTGAGACGATTTTTAGATCTTCAGATAAGACGAATAGAATAAATGAAAAAATGTTTTTTCATTGAATCTTATAAAATATGGAATTTGATATAAATATATATATATATATATATATATATGCATTGTGTGTAATGCGGTGCTTTTCTGTCAAATCGTAAAAATTACTTTATAAATATGAATCAAATTAAAATGTATGTAGTAGTAAACGAAATAACGGTACTGCGACCACCGAGCAGACCAGGCTAGTATAAAAACCGTAGTATTGATAATGCTGAGACAACGTTGAACAATTGTTTATCATGTGTCATCCTCTCCTAGGCACGATATCCGTTTTCCTCGGACAAAATGTAATCAAAACGGTACACTCTGTCATGGTCAACTAGGCATATATTTTTTGTTTTTGCGATCCTGATGACAATTCGATTTTGGTTTGTTTTGTAAAATTCTGCACAAAATAATAAAAACACCGTCCATTCGAGATTTTTGTAAGCGAACTTCTCAAAATATTACGCGATATTACGATGATGATGTAAAGATATCCCACGATAACATAGATAAAGCTTTTATGTGTTATAACGGGTTTATTAGCACTACAAGGTCATGTGTTAAATCAAATTTCAGATGAAGAAAAAAATGTATAAAGATATTTATTCATTATTGCGTTTCATGTTTACGTCCATGTTCATTTCGGAGTATCCGATATCATTGAAAAATAGATTAGTCCAAACACTAGAAGCGTTATCGACTCACACTCTGAATATAGTTGCATTTCCTTTTGATTCAATAGCGCGACGACCAATATTATTATTATTAATCCTGTTTTATTTCACGGTACTACGTCAACACGTCTTCATGCATAGGTTTAATTTTTTTTAATATATATATATTTTCTTTTACACTCGCATGGCGTCGTTTGATTATTCAAACAACGTGCCGGTTGATTATTAAGAGACCCATGCACGTCCCCGGCGACGACGCGACGACCAACGTTTCGAGTAGGTACATCATCCCGCTTATTACATTCATATTGTGTCCGTCCGTATAATATAGCTGACCGCATGCTGACTCACCCCAGTGCCTATTCCGAACGATACCTTAACTCGGTAGACACAGTGTGTTATATGTGCGCGTCTGTGCGGTTACCATAATAGGCATATTAATGACTGCGGTACCGCCTGCCCTGTACATGTAATATATATGCATGTATGTACATGGATACCTCCCGCGCGCCGAGAGTCCCAAAGTGCGGACCGGACGGATTTTGACGGTTTAATGTTTTAGTATTCATAAAATATATTGATATAATTACGCGGAACGAACAATAAAAGTATATCGATTGATTGATGATGAAATATCGAATTCGTCGGATAAGTATACCTTTATGGGTTTGGACACATGATCACATGATCTGTACAGAACAAACGATGGAATATCAATTATACAATAAGAATTGCAATTAAAACCGAAAATCATCTATTGATGTTTGTCGCATTTCGACGGATCGAAAATCCAACAATTTGAATTGTTTACTATGAAAATAATTTCAGTCATAAAAAATGCATATGGTACTGTGTTTGTATAATTGTGCACATTAAATATCATACGTTAAATGTAATATTTTTTTTTTTCTTTATAATACATAATAGTATTATTCCGTCACAATTACGATATTGCATGCGTTGTATACGTGTTTACGATATTCACGAAAGCGCACACATATTGGTACTATTAGTAAAAAAAAATGTCATCATGCGCAAGTCATGTAATGCATACACTACAGTATGTCGAGGGTCGTGAAAATTAGCCCATAAGTACGTATAGATTTTATATTATCAAAGCCTTTCATTATTTTGATTGATAATATTAACAGTGCAACAACTAAAAATACGACGATATTAAAATAAAAACGCACATTAAAAATCATAAAAATCATTTAATCATAAATCTGCCTTGGCTTATCGCAAAATAATATTGAATACATATATCGTAAAATATCCGGTTTCACCTACGCGTGGGTTTGTCATTTTAACTCCATCGTTATATTTCTATTGCAAACTCGTTGAAATAGTTTATCATATTGAAATACACCATTTTATACTTACTCGTGCACTTGAGCTCTCGTCTCAGTTCATCAGAGCCTTTGTAACAGTCTTGTTTGCCATCACATAGTCGTGAAAGCTCGTACAGTTGTAAAACCGTAGTTGATTCGTTCACTTGGCAACCAAAGTATCCGTCTTCCAAGTTCAAAAAGAACAATTCTCTTTTTATTCCAAATCCAATTCCGCCTTGAGCATTTACCTACAGTTAAAACAATAAAATAGTGAATTCACATACTTCAAACAAATTTATTTTATAATATATTGATATCAATTATACAAATATTATCACATGATTGTATACAACAATAAAAAACAACTCTTAAATCAGTAATATCTACACCCACCTATATTATATTAAAGTTTGATTTTTTTATGTTTCAACAAAGATATTTATTACGACATCATAAGATTAATTTTCAGCTCACTGAATGAATTTATTCAATTAATTAAATAAGTAACCGTACGGAAGGAAATATCTAATTATCTACCTTGCGAACTTGTATTGTGTACAGCTCTATTAATATAATTAACCGTAGTAGTATAACTGGCTCACTGTTGATGATTATTCTTTAATAAGAGTTATGATTATCGCCTATAACTATAATATGCCCTACATTTTAAAACAAAAAGACATCATGTGGTGCTTTTAGCCCTGAGATTGATTTTATTCGTATCTGTTTTTTGACTTGATCGTATTTACAAAATATATTATGGGTGTCAAGTGCACGTAGCTAATTTATTATAGCAGTCAGAAATATAGATCACATATTATTTAAAAAAATGTACTCAACAGAAATATTATAGTCTTAAAGGTTAAAACAAGTGTCTATTATATTATATCGTTATTCTATTTTAAATTATTAAATTAAATTTAAATAAAATGGTTGAAGCATAATATACAGAGTCTTATTCTTGTTTAATATACGAGTAAGCTTTTTGATTGCCTTTTAATTGTATGTAAGTTCTTTAATGTATTACGTCAAATTTTAAATTGCATGTGGTTTTTATTTTTTTATTATGCCAAATGTTAATTTTTCTAACATCGGACAAACAACGACGGACCTGCAGATGAAAATGTAACGCTCCATCAACGATTGCATGGTTTGTTGGATTCGTTTAGGTTCACGCAGTAGCTATTATCTAAGTTTATGTCATTATATCGTCTTCGTTTTAACTACAAGGTTATGACTCCCGGGAAACCATCCGAGACTCCTATGCCCTTAACCTTAGGTTTCTACCATGACTATTTTATGTTTTCTGTTTTTTTTTTTTTTTTTTTTATATATATATTTTCCGAATTAAATTCAAGCAAATTACACGCATTCGAATAAATGGCAGTTCTGTGGCTTTATATACGAGAGTGCAAACATGAAATAATAATATATATATGTCAGTAATAATGCATATGGATAATGTAATAATTTCGATTCTTACCATAGCTTCATGTTGGTATCTATTTTAGGCAGAAGTCAGTTTCTAATAATTATTTTATTCATTTTCAAATAAAGAAAATAGAATATTATGTAATAGTATAACTATATTTAATCGATATTTGGTTTTATATATTTAATCAATTCATGTAAATAAGTATATATTTATAAGTAAATTATAAAATGCTTATAGGAAATAATATATCCCAAGTCTGGATTTTCTTTAGTAAGCGAGCGTTTAAGTCACTCTGTCTGTTTGACTATGTACTCGTATAACCTATTAGTGACCATGATAATATAATTATTTTTAAAATGTAGAGATAACAATTAATCAACACGTATTGCAGGCACTGTAAACCGTTAAAAAAATTATCTAAGCGAAAAAATAATACATACGTCTGTGGCCGCTTCTAATATAGAAAAAACTAAGGTTCTATTGAATTAAATTGTTGAATGGAACTGCAGTAGAGAATTCTAACGATTCTTATTTCAACCGTTATACATTATTTTTTTTATTCGTTTCATCAGACCACTACAACAGTATATATAATAAAAAAAAAGACATCTGCAGCCAATAGTTTTGTCAGATAGTCATGATGGTCATAGCAATGACCAAGCATACTAGCTGACCGTTTGGGCTATCTAGCAGGAAACACAAAAGAAAAAAATAATTACCGGGAGCACTGGGCTTTGACCGTTAATGTACCAATGAACTAGCTAAGTTACTGTTTTGAATTATATTATTATTGGCTCCTTAAAAAAATGTTCTGCAACCGTATGGTAACGTCAGGATGGATTTCTATGATAAACATTTCGAATACAATTATTTTATATGAATAAAACATTTGGAGACTTAAACGTACAGTCATTACTAATTCTATGTCATGCGCCGTCCATATGATTATTAAGTTTTGTGATTTCACCAGCGTTATTAGGCGTTCTTCTAATCAGCTTTCGTTCGGAAACTCAGGCGGGTTCAATATGATTCTCATGCAACATTACGAAACTATCGCAATGCGCAGGAGGTCATCCGCTTCTGCATGGCGTGGGTTACCGGAGAAACCGCTAGCTTACCCTTATATGGGAACCCGAGTTGGCCCAAGGACGTAATAACATTATAATTTTGTGTGTTTCGCATACGTATACGATGGCTCATATTATATGCGCTGAGATTACCCGAATGAACTGTTCGGAGGATATTTAGTAAGCACCCACAAAGACGCCACCGTCTTTTGTTACATAATTTCAATTTCTGGGTGAATGTCATTGAGTGAAAATGTTGCCACCGACAATATTTTTCTTCTATGCAGACGACACATTATGAAGACCGAGAGAGATAGCGAAAAAACATGCATTGTATCATGATCATACCTACAATATATAATATGCTCTAGATTTATATCGTACGTAAGATCAAAATAATAAAACGTAAAATATTCAAGGCCAAAATCCAACCTACGAATCGCGGTTGTGTAATATGGTACACGGTAACAAAAGAAAAGAGAAATTAAGGTAACACATGTGTTGCAAAGACAAATGCGGCATCTTCCTTTTTTCTCTTGTTTTTCATTTTTATTTTTTTATTATTGTTGTTAGCTCACGGTAAGATGTAATTTGCTCCCGCTCCATTTAGTCGCATTAGAAACAATAATATAATAATCAACAACTATTATGACATGTTACGCACGCGGTTATGACGTTTGAAAACCGAGAAAAAATAATTCCCATACGCAAAAACCAACAGTGGTCTCATGTTTATGTGTTTAGAAATGTGACCCGTTTCGCCAAGTACGGAAAATCGAAAGTAAACCCTCTTGTCCGTCCTCATTTGGACAGTCCGGAAGATTTTAATCACTGTTGTATGTATTTTTTTATTTTTTTTTTTCTACAATATACCAGTTTTTCCTCCTAATTTTTTACATGGATCAACTCACTAATACATTTATGTTATAGCGGGAAGGACGAATACGAAACGATGAGTACAGTAGATAAAACTGATCGCGCCCTTGATATTGTTTCCCTGATCATTGCACAACAGCGTCCACGAGTGGAACTAACATCACTATTGTGCCTAGGTGATCTTTAAGTAGTTTTCTTTTTCACGTATTAATATTCATATTATTACTATTATTATCGATATGCTTCGTTAATATCAAAGTCAATGATAATGTATGGAAAACTACATTGTTGATTTTTCCCATAATAATACTACTTGTGTATTCTGTATTTAAAGTTCTCAGGATGCAATTAACTAAATAGATAGTGATCCATCAGGAGTATTCTATAACATTGAGTTTTTCCGCAAATTGAGTTCAACAATTTAATCAGAATGATCTGTTTTGTTCAATAAAATAAATGCGTTTTATAAATCGATTACTCAGTACATGACATCTTCAACAAAGGATAGATAACATCAAACGTAAACTATATTTTTTACACAGTTATACATATGATACTTGGTTTTATTTGAACTATATAGATACTATTAAGTTAAGTACTTGATCATTTTTAATAGAATTAAATTCACGATTAAAGATAAAGTGTCTAAACATTTTATAATGATTCAACCCTTTTTTTATTATTATTTTTGTCCTATTTAAAACAAACGGCAATAAAAATAGCAAATTCTGTAAGCTAATTATATTCTTAAAAAGATTAATTTTGTACGTTCAAAATCATAAAAATTATGTATATAATATTCATTTCATAAGAGTATTTATATTTAATTATAATAATAGAATATTAAATAGTAACTTATGAATAAATAGTATATAATAAGTTAAATTTTTTTTATCTTATTCGAAATAACATACTGTTAAATACCTATGTTATTTTCGATTGAATATATGCATAAAATTGTCTTCAATGCAGAAAAAATATTTCGTAAATAAAATAACTATATCGTAATATCTATATCAATACACTTTATTATATTCTTATTATAATTATAATATTAATATTATAATAAATATTAGCTATATGAGTATATGCTGTAAAAGAATAAAATTTAATTTTTTAATTTATGGTATTGATTTTGTTTATAATATAAGTTGTATATTTTAACCCATAATATTACTATAGTTCAATAATTATAGAATTTCCGGTTATATTAAATAGGCTTGAAGTATTTTATCAACATATACAATGTACATGTATAACTTTATATTTTCGTTTAAATTTTGGTTTTCGCTAAATCAAACTGGGATTTCAATATTCCATTACATACGCGCAGTTGCTATAGATCTGAGGGTTTCGGCCGACCGACGCGTTTATATTCATAACCAAAACACTTTCACCGCAGTGATTCATTAATTGAATATACATATAGACGGAAACGAAATCCCCCGACGCGTAGTTTTAAAATGCATACGCACGATGTAGGTTGGGTCCGGCAAAACAAACGGTTATATTATTTATTTTTTTTTAGACGTTCAAGTTGCCACTATTCACGATAATTTTGAAATTCTTTAAGCATACTCCAACGTGCGCGCGAACACACACGCTCTTATTTATTAGTTATTATGTATTCAATCACATATTACGAAATTGTCATTCTCGGACTTCATTTTTGCAGTATATCGACGCGACGGTTAGTGTGTCCGAAAGGATAGCATGATGTTAAACAATATAGAACAATTTACTTGGATAGTTTTATTATTGCATTTTGATTTTTTTTTTTAATTTTCTACATATCATTATCATTGCATCTAGTAATTTATTGGTGTATTTGTTGGTAAATCCATATCGACCTACACACGTTTTTTTTTTT